GATCTTCCATTGCCATTTAAATCATTAACCAGAGATAGATGCATGTAACAAAGTCTTGCTAGTTTTATAATAAATTTAATTAAAATAGTGATAGCAAATCCGATTCTAAATCAATTTTAATAGTCACATTTATTTAAAAAAAAATCACATTCCCTTACTAAGTTTTATGACTTTTATTTTAAACCATTTTGAAAAGAAATATCAAAGCATGCTATACAAAGTTCAAAAGCATGAAGAGAAGTATGGATATAACTAACCAAACAGGCAAGTAGGCCCAATACTAATTATGATACCAAATTATGTATGCAATCGTGAAAGTAGTTGCATAATAGTTCAATTTCATGTTTCCAAGAAAAGATTACAGAAGCATAATTACTATTATGAGGTTTTGTATTTGGCTTGTAGTGCACTCAAAGAAATGAGCTAGCAGTTGCTAATCTTTACCTTGTTTTGCACTATTAATCAAATACTTCCACCTAACTACATGATAGTTATACTGATACATTCCAATGCATCAATGCAGGAAAGAACTTTAAGCATTCACCTTTATTTCACAGGAGGACCACTCCATCTATATTTAAGGGGCACATTCTTTAGAGTAGGTCACACACCTATGTGCCCCATTACTAATAATATTGCTGCCTTATTAGACGGGATAAACATTTTCATCTTTATATGTGAACCCAAAAGAGAGAAGGGAAAGAAAAAAACCATCCACCCTCTTATTAAAAATGAATATCATTCCACATGTGAAGATCTAATTACTATCAAAGCTATTTAAAAATTTTATATGATAATTAATTATTTTTATATAAAAAAACCTTCTCATTTTCAACTAAAATTCCTTAAAATTCTAATTGTATTTAATTTTCATAAAAATTTTTAATTAAAAACAATGGCAAAGTCCAAAAATTTTGTGAGAGTTGGCGAAAGGTCACACCAGTGTTATCAAACCCGGCTCGAACCGATCTAGTCAACTCCGAACCGGTGAACTGGTGATCTAACTGGTTCTAGTCAATCAATAGATTGATCATGTATCTAATTCGGTGAAAACTTATTTGAACCAGCTGGGTTTTATCAAAATCAGTGAACCGGTCGGGTCTCTAAAAAACTGGCTGGTCATTCATTATTTTTTAAAAATAAAAAAAATAATTTTGTTTTGTTCACAAAGTTTTAAAAATTCAGAACTCCTCCCAAACGAAGCTTGTACTCGCAATCGTCGATTCCACCACTTGCTCTAACGTTTCCCTTCTCCAATCGCTAACTCTCATCTTCTCTTTATTCCACAAGGTCATTAGCTCTGAGCTCAAGTCTCTCCACCTTGTCGTCTTTCCAACCACGATAATGCTTATTTAGTCTCATCCTTATTCCAGCATTGTACTTTCTTTGCACTGTGTACAAGTACCACTTCAATATCGAGGAGTAGGTGTGTTCGTGGTTTTAGTTTTTAGTTTATTTTCTTGTATTTATAAAGAAAAACTTCAAATTTCATTTTAAAAGTGAAGTCCTTGATAAAAATAAATTATGTATCTTGTCTTGAATCATAGAAAACTCAAGTGTGGGTTTTTAATAAAATATTTTAAAATATTCATTTTTAAAACACTAAATTCTCATGTGTGAATTTATTTAGTCAAGATGATCATACTAGAGATTGTGTGCATCAGCATTAGTGCATTAGTGTGTCTTGAATGGAAACTGGTATACAACTTACCAAGTTTTGCACAATTTGTATAATTTGATGTGTAAGATACATAATAAATTTAGCAGCTTTCTTACTAATGTGAAAGGTCTTTGTTGTGGATTTTGCACTGGATTTTTAAGTATAAAATAGAGATTTGCATATACTTATTCAATCAACTAGTTCGACCAGTGACTTATCGGTTGAACTAGCGAGTTAGGAATCCAATATCCCCGGTTGGGTCAATAACCAAGTCGGGTTTAATAACATTAGTTCACACAACCCAGACAAGTAACAAAACATTGAGTCAATACATGGCTAAACTTGAAAAACTCTCTAAGTTTTCGTTATATATCAGGAATAATAAGAACAGAAATAGGAAGACTGAGCTTTAGGGACAGTGAGCTTATATTACATTACCTTTTACTTAAGTCAAAATGAGACAAAAGAAATATAAATTTGTATGAACTTGAAGCGGGATAATCGTCCACCTAACCCTTTCCTTGTTTCACTATCATTGAAAACTAGGAACAGTGACCAAAATGTCACTGTTCACTGACTTTTATACCTAAATGCCACGCGAACAGTGTTATTTCCCAATATGCCACGCGGAAAAGTTCACTACAGTGCCCAACGAACTTGGTTTGCTGACGTGGCACGTTTCTGGTGGACAACAAGTTCGCTACTCCCAGTAGCGAACTATGTTGCAATAAATGCTGACACATTGGAGAAGTTCGCTGCAGTGTGCCACGTGTCTGACATGCACCAAGTTCGCTGAAGGTTCAAGCGAACTAGGTATCACGTGGCACAATCAGAATTAATGTATCAATCACAATAAAATATAGAAAATGAAAGAAAATTGCAATTTAATTAATCTGCCAATCAAAATTAATGTGCCAATTAGCAATCACAATTAATGTGTCAATCACAATTAGCGTACAAATAGGATTAACTTTTGATTGTATCAATCACAATTAATGTGTCAATCGACTTTTTTACCTAAATGTCACGCGAATAGTGTTATTTCCCAATATGCCACACGGGCAAGTTCGCTACAGTGCCCAGCAAATTTGGTTTGCTGACGTGGCACGTTTCTGGTGGACAACAAGTTCGCTACTCCAAGTAGCGAACTATGTTGCAATAAATGCTGACACATGCAGCGAACTAGGTGTGCCACGTGTCTGACATGCACCAAGTTCGCTGAAGGTCCAAGCGAACTAGGTGCCACATGGCACAATCAGAATTAATGTATCAATCACAATAAAACACAGAAAATGAAGGAAAATGACAATTTAATTAATGTGCCAATCAAAATTAATTGCCAATTAGCAATCACAATTAATGTGTCAATCATAATTAGTGTACAAATAAGATTAACTTTTGATTGTACCAATCACAATTAATGTACCAATCACCAATCACTTCGGAGGGCCATAACTTTTGATTCAGATATCTAAATCAGATATTTTTTATTTTATTTCATATAACTTTTCGAGATCTACCAAATGACACCTCATTTGACATATTTTATCTCTCACAACCATCGTTCGAATTTGTAACTATGATATCACAAATAATTAATGTACCGATCAAAATTAATTGCAATTGATACATTAATTGTGATTGGTACATTAATTGTGATCAAAATTAATTGTGAATGATGATTGATATATTAATTGTGATTGGTGATTGGTATATTAATTGTGATTAATACATTAATACAATTAATTGTCATTTTCCTTCTTTTTCTATTTTTTTATTGTGATTGGAACATTAATTCTGATCGGGCAATGAGATTGTGCCACCAGCACACCAAGTTCGTTACCCTTGGTAGCGAACTTCGTCCAGTCAGCTTTTCCTGCAAAAGTGTGCCACGTGTCACGAAATCATTGGCTACCAAGTTCCCTACCATTCGTAGCAAACTTGGACACGTGGCAATCAACTTTTTCTGCCAAAATGTGTCACGTGTAACGAAATCATTGGCTACCAAGTTCTCTGGGCACTGTAGCGAACTTGCCCACGTGTCATATTGAAAAATTACACTATTGGCGTGATATTTAGGGAAATAAGTTGTGGAACAGTGGCACTTTGGTCACTGTTCTCTCTTTATCTGTCATTAGAAGTGGTATCATGGTCAATGGTTTGGCTAAGTTATGTATTTGAAGATGATGGTTTGTGTTTACACGATTCATGGATGTTGTATAGATTCACCTTAAATGCCAAATGTTTTCTAGACGAATACTATTTTTTTACATGATAATCTTTTATTTTATTCCTTTTATTAAAAAATTCTTAGATAAGAAAATATTTACTTGAACAAAAAAATGCACTCCTCCTTTCAAACTCCCTCCAATCATACCAACATGTATAAGGAACATCTTAGGCAGGAGGTGAAAAGACTAAACCTCAACCATTTAATCTGACATAGGTTGTCAAGATTAATTCTACCTATATTTCACAAGAAGCAAGTTGAATAGTTAAGAATTGGATCACATTCCTGAGGGTAAGACGAGATGGGGCCAAGATTGTATGATCCACCTATGTGAGGGCTCAATTGTAATGGCCGTATTTCACTCAACATTATTTTCTTGGATACATATTTCACTCCACATTAAAATACCTTAATTATTACGTGGCCCAGTCTATTAGGCTTCTTTGTTACTCTAATTACCTCGATCCCCTAAAAGGCCATAAAGCCCATTCCTCAAACATATTTTCCCTCACTTTTTGTCATGTTATCTCGTATTCCACTTTTTCCATAAGGAGTAGAATAGTGATGTTTAACAAAATATGAGGAAAGTGTAAAGAAGATAAGTGATATGTTTAACTTTTTCGTTTATCCCAGTTTGGCAAAGTAGCAAAAGGAGAATAAGGAATAAAGTTAATAAGACTGTTTTAATATCCTCAAGAAGGGTTTTTACCATAAAGATAGCAGGATGACTTTTCAAACCTATGATTGTGAATAAAAATGGAACATAGACTTAGTTTGCCCATTTGATTAGATGAATAAAAAAATTGAATGGTTCTCCCCCTCACAATAGTTGTACACAAAATCTTAACACAAAAAAGAAAAGTGCAAATGAAATTTCAATTAAAGAGAGTGGTCAAGTGGCAATTCAACTAGATCTTATAATTTGATTTGATAAAGAAATAATGAGTTCGATTTTTGAAAATCATAATTTTTTCATTCATAGAATAAAAAAACATAAACCCAAAATCAAATTAGACGATTTATTAAAACTTTGGATATCAGTTATCTCCTAAAAAAAAGAGAATGGCCAAGCAAGATTTGTTTGTCAAATTTAAGGCACATAAAATCATTGACATAAATCATGAGGCTAACAACAAATTAGCAATTAATGCAAATCAACTTATTCCATGCATCTATGAGGAACACATTGCTAAAGCTATTGCAATTGCCCAATCAATTTATCGAGTATATACTTATCGTCTTATCGACATATCTATATACAATCACACTTGTAATCCTTCCATTGACTTGGCCACACAATCATACCCTGTAGCCTCTACCACAGGAGTCCCTGTCTGAGGTCAGAAATATCCAAACCAAAACAAAGACATGCAAGCAATTCAGCCATGAACCAACCATGCTACGCCATATTCTCCCAATCACAAAAATCACAAGCCCTTGACTGTGTGCCCCACCTCCCTTTCTTCCTCGGAGACAGCCCTATCTAGTCACCCACCTTCAATTCATTTGGGGAGTGAGAAATAATGTGATTTAGCGAAGAAGAAGAATTTGTTTACAATTCTTTTTTACAAATTACATAAATATGACCGGTTATATATTCTTAACTGAAGGTATGACCGATCATACTTATTGTAATTTGTAAGAATTTATAAACAAAAAATTTATAAATATAACCTCTTCCTTAACAAATATTTAAAACTATAAAGGTTATTTTAAGGAATCATCTTATTCTTTTCCACTTATTTTAACCAAAACTTCCCACAGCCGTTGGATCTCTCCGAAAACGTCATCGGACGGCAGCCTGAACCTGCAACAAGGACACGTGTTCCTCTTCCCCAGCCACGGCAATAAGCACATCCAATGGAACAAGTGCTGACATGGCAACTCGCACACGTCCCTTCCGACTCTCATCTCCTCTTTGCATATCACACACTCTCTCCCACCCAACATCACCTCCACCGACGGCAGCGCCACCACCGCCGCCGCAGACGCCGCCACCTCCCCAACTTCCTTCCCACCACCGCCGCCGCCACAACCAAGTGCACCCACGAGTCTCCAACACCGGCTCACCATCTCAACGAAGGGAATCAAGGTTGTCCCTGAACATGCCCCAACGGGCACAGAAGAAGAAGAAAGCACCAACAATTCATCAGAGAAAAGCTTGCTCAAGTTCACCCTCCAATCAGAAGAGGGTCCCTCTAGAGCTTCTGGGTTGTGGTTGTGGGTCTCGCAGAGCAAGAGGAGCAGCAAAACAGCATCGAGATCGCGCTGTCTGATGGTGGTGGATAACGGCGGCGGAGGCGGCGGTGATGTTCTGTTTTCCGGTTGGATGTGGCGGGTGAGGCGGTGGAGAGATGAGAGGAGGTGGCGGGCAATGAGAAGAGTCTTTTGGGGAAGAGAGAGAGTGTGAAGGTGATGAAGGGTTAGGGAGAAAAGAGTTGGGGAAGAGAGGAGGAAGGAGAGGCGACGGTGGTGGTGGTGGGTGGCTGAGAGAATGGAGTGAGTGAGATCTGATAAATGGGAAGGAGTGAAGGTGGAGAGTGCAGCCATGATGGTTGCTGTTGTTTCTTCCATTGATTGTGGGATCATGTGCTTGGGACTTCGGCTTTTTAGATTGTGAACTATGTAAGTAGGAATGTTGCTTTTTATGCACATGTGTGTTAGTCATTCATTACTATCATAACAGACCAATGTGTCCTTGGTTCCTGTTCCTTTTTCTACCACAATCTTTATCTTTTTTAAAGTCGGTAGTCCTTAATATTTTTAGGAAGATGTGACTGGATATATGGCACTGCTTGACTTTTTACTTTATTTGGATTGGGATTTAAATGATTTTAATGAATTTTTTTTGAAAAAAATATATATTAGTATTCAGTTAGAATTTTAAAGGAGTAAAAAAAGTTATGTGATATTTAATTAGGATTTTAAGATTATTTTAGAGTTTTTCTAAATTCGTTGGTATTCAATCAGATTTTAAACAAAGGAAAAACAATCTTGTGGTATTCAAAAATCTTACGATTTAAATAAATTTTTTATTGGTGTGAATTTCGTGAGACTTGTGAGAAATATAAATACGATGTCTCTCTCACAATCTCACCCTAACCTCTAGAATTTCTTCACATTTCTCATCACGTAGAACAAAAACCCCAAGGTTTACAAGATCAATTGCAAAAAATTTCAAACAAAAATTTATCATGAATTTTACTAATTGAGAAAATTATATTACATTTTATTTTTTTTATTAATATCATTGCATTTCTTGTTAACTTTTTTTTATTGACTCTTATAATTTTGGATATTTATTAAAAATTCATATGATTTTTTAAAATCTTATAAATTCATGTTGTCCTTTCAAATCTTACAAATTCTATTAAAATCCTTTTAAATCCATTCTTAAGAAATCTTGATTGTAAAAAAAAATTTAAAATCTCTCCAATTCTAAATAATCTTTTAAAATCTATAAGATTTTTTATATCAAAAAAATCTTTTAAAATACTAATCCAATGCATCCCCGACTAACAATGATTTCGCTAACACTAGTTCGGATTAATTAGTATAATTGTCGTGTAATGTATCAAACTAAAGGAAGTAATAATTAGATGTGATAGGGAGAGAATATCATTAATAACAATATCAACAATTGACCTTCTTAATGATCTATATCATTAATGGCTTCAAAACTTTAGACATTCAGTGAGGTATATTATAATTGAAACTCAAAGTGAAATACATGAAAAAAGAAAGAGAAAAATATCAATCCCCATTTGTTAGATTAAAATGAGATGGAATAGATCAGATTGCAGATTACCTGATTTAGGTATTTAGGGCAATAGAAAATCTAGAAAGGTTGTGTGGAAGAACTAGAAATGGCGTGACACTTGCGGAGATGGAACAGAATGAAGTGGCAGCGTTTGTCCATATGTTAATGTCCAGTGCGAGCACGTTTCTCACTCCTATGCTTTTCGTTATCTCTTTCAACTGTTGTCCCTCGACCGATTTTGTTAATGGCAACAAAACAAACAGAAGAGAAAGTTCCACCCTTGGCCCATGCCCGTGGCTTGTTCCTCTTGTCACCTATAAAATACACCAAAACAATAATGCAATTCCGGTAAAAAGATGTAGAAGAAATCGGCATCTTCATACCCTCTCCTCATCATAGCTTCTCTCATCCTTCAATTACATGCACACATGCTAATTTCTCAATGCCCCTGGTCTTTCATACAATCACACCCTTACGTAAACCTTACAAATTACTTTCTGGTGCGAGTGTGAAAAGGACAATTTTACTTCTATGATAATGGGCGTTCTGGTAAAAAATATTAAAATATAAGGCCTAGTAGGCTAGTAGCCATTCCCTGTCGCAAAGAAAGAGGACATTTCGGTGGCAAACCAAGCTATGATTAAAGGAAAAGATATTTAACAGATATCGGATGCTTTAATAACAAGAAAACTATTTTCTAGGCAAGAATGGGGCAAATATGTAAAAGGAAAAAGGTAGAGGCAAGACAAACCCCACGAATAAAAAGATTATCTAAATGAAACAATTATGTTTCCTGTGTTAAATTACAACTGGCTGTGTCAAAATCAATGCCCAATCTAAAGTCTCATCTCCCCAATTTGGTGATCTCCAAAAAAATCCTATACGTGGAGCCATTCTCAACAGAAAGTGTCTTTTTTGTTCTAGCTTTTCACAAATTTTAGGTCCCCATCTCATCGTTCCACAAGTTTCAATCTTAGAACCATAAATTTGAAGGGGAAGAAAAAACGTATATGTCCTGAAATTCAGGGATCCTAAGTTCGCATAATATGCTCACACGTCTCAATGTAATTTGACTTAAAATCAATCAAGCCACTTAAAGAAGGGAAACTTTAACCTCAAAAACACGATGGTATATCCGTCTCAGAAGGAATCATATATTGACCGTAGAACGCAGCGAGTCAAAATTTATAAGTATCTAGCAGACAGTTAGCAGCAGATGTCCATCCAGGAAGCAGGTAACTGAGAGGTAACTAGTTAACCACGCATTTGCTATTCAAATAAACATGTAATCTCAGGAACTTCCACTCCAAAGGTGGTTATCATTTGACCAAAAGTTGTTGCCTTGTCCGGATACAGCTTTTTCTACATAAATACAGAGTTGTTAATTAATTTCTGCTCCTCAAAGGTTGTCTGGTCTTGTGTTGCTCTGGCCATACAAGAGGTGAGTGATCTGTTTCAGTTCAAATTAACACATGTCAGTTATGAGCTAAAAGCATTCTCATAATCCAACTCTTCCTGCAAAATATATCCTTCTTCCCTCATCAAACCAAGCAATCCTTCCAGCAATGCATAAATCTCATCAGATCTTCCATTTGATACATCCTTGGCAATGAAGCTTAGTAACCCTCCACTCGATTCAATCCAGCTACATCCACGGATCTTCTGTAACCCAATTTCTTTCATTCTTTCCCTAACCCTATCAGCTTCTTCCCATCTCCCAGCATGTGAATATAGGTTTGCCATAATTATGTAATTCCCTGTATTTTCAGGCTCAATCTCAAACAAATGATCACAAACAAACTTGCCCATTTCAACGTCACCATAAACAGAAGCCCCATGTAGCAAAGCACCCCAAACTCTAGCACTTGGCTCAATTGGCATTTTAGAAATGAAGTTTGCTGCTTCTGAGAGCTTTCCAGCTCGACTAAGAACACCGACCATGCAAGCATAGTGCTCCACTAAGGGTTGGATGCCATATTTTGAGGGCATCACATTGAAGATTTCCCAAGCTTCATCCACCAGTCCGGAATGAGCACAGGCAGTCAATACAGCAGTTAATGTCACTGGGTCAGGTTGAATTCCTTTATCTAGCATCTGAGCATAGAGACCAAGTGCCAAACTAGCATCTCCATGAGCAGCATAAGCGGATATAATTGCTGTCCAAATTATTAAGCTCCTACTTCCGGATTGATCAAAAACCTGCCGTGCCCCATGAATAAACCCCAACTTTGCATAAGTATCAATAATGGCAGTTGCGACATACATATTTTGGTCATAACTTCTTCTGATAGCATAAGCATGCACCTCTTTCCCTCCTCGCAGATTTGAGAAGTACGAAAACAAAGGAAGAGTGCTAGCAAGTGTAACAGCATTAGGTCTCAAACCAGAACCCTGCATTTCTCTAACTAAATCAAAGACTCCTTCATACTGGTTATTCTGAACCATACCGGAAATCACAGCATTCCAGATACTTAATCCATGGTTTTCCATTCCTCGGAAAATAGTCATTGCTTCCTCTACAAACCCGTAAACCATGTACCCCGAAATAATAGACCCATAAGTAACCTCGTCCTTTTCAGTCAATTCTTCAAACAACTCTCGAGCATAATCCAGACTACCACATTTCGCATACATGGCAATCACAGCATTGCAAAGCGAAACGTCCATCTCAATTTGCCTCTCGTTCACCAAACGGTGAACTTCCATTCCAAACACAAGATCCTTGGACTGTCCACATGCCTGCATCACGCTGAGTACCGTAACCACATCTGGTGCAAACCCCGCCACACCCAACATCTCCAAGTACAACCTCTTACACTCTTCGTAGAACCCACACTGAGAATACCCACCAATCATCGAGTTCCACGACACAACATCTCTCTCAGGCATTCTGTCAAACACCGTCCTCGCAAGTCCAAGCTCATCGCACCTCGAGTAACACGTAACCAACGCATTGAGAACGAAAACATCCCAGTCGAACCCACGTCGAAGAACCGAACAGTGAACCTCTTTAGCCAATCTGGGGCTACAAAACGACGAAGCCAGCACCTTCAATACGCAAGTTATAGTGAAGCTATCGGGAGAGACACTGCTGGAGAAGGACAAAGAGGTAAACAGGTTCAGCGCGTCGCGGAACATTCCGTTGAAGGTGTAGCCGATAAGCATCGCGTTCCATGAGAAGGAGTTTTTGTGGGGAATTGCGTCGAACACCTTGCGCGCTTCTCGTATGAGGTTGGATTTGGAATAGAAGTTGATGAGCTTTGAGGCGAGGAAGTTATCGGGTGTGACAGAGAACAGGAAGAGGCGAGCGTGGAGCTGCTTGGCGTGACGGACGAGGCGGTGGTTCGTGCAGTGCTGAATGGCGGAGCCATAGGCGGCACAGTCGAGGCCGCCGCCGCGGGTTTTAAGGAGGCATTTTCGGAGGTTGCCGTTAACCGCCGCTTGTGTTTGAATTTTAAAGCTAAGCGCCAGCGGATTATGGATCCTCATTCATTTGTTTCGTAAGGCCTTTTCTTTGTTCCTCCTTATTCAACGACAATAGAGAGAGATCTGGGCTAGGTCTTGGCCCAATTTAACATTTCGTGGGCTTTTAAATTCTTCAAGGCCCACTCTCTTTGTTGCTCTGGAGCCCATGATTGGTTCTTGTTATTTACTTTCATTCATCAATGGTTCTTGTTTTAGATGTGTCAGATATCTTGGCTTTTTGACCCTTATGACCCTTAATTAATAATTAATTACCAAATTGCCCTTCATTCAAAACTATTTCGAAAATTTACCCTCCCCAACAAACATAACACCAATCTGCCCATGTTTGACCGTTGACCACGAAGCCTACCCGGGTACACCATTACCTACCCAGGTAATTTTTGAAAATTTTTTATCTACCCGAGTATGTAGGAGTGTACCCGGGTAGAGTTCTTGAATCTGGGAAAATGGTTGAATTATTTACCCGGGTATGGATCAGTGTACCCGGGTAAATCGCGTCCAGAAATCCCAATATGTATGGGTTTCAGCCATTGTTGCGAGGTATAGGGTTTTTGAAACCCCAAATCTCTCTCTCTTACCCTCTCTAATCCGAAACATCACACATATTTCATCTCATCATTTCAGAAAGCTGAATCTTGGTGGGACATTGAGATTACATCTCCACACTCCCATTTTGTGCTCAAAAATCCGAACCAACCTCCAAACCCAAAACCTAGATCTAATTTTTGTGTGAAAGATGAGTTCAAGTCCAAACATGGTTCCTATAGTTGTTTACTACAATGGGAGGCATTTTGAAGGTCCGAACGGTGTCCGATTTGAAGGAAAAACAAAAACGATGAAAATCAAAGTGGGCACTACATGCAATGAACTGAAGGAGAGAATTCTTCAAAAAATGGGGTCAGAAGGCATACATTCCATCCACCGCATGATAGCCAGGTTAGAGACTGTAGTGGATATGGATACAATATACTACATTGGAAACGATATAAATGATGATGATAAAGATGTGGAGTTCGTAACAGATGCGTTTGTTGAATGGAAAGTATTAAAATATATTGAGATATATGTTGAAGTTGATGTTGGACAATCTTCATCTTTACCGGTGCATACAACCACTACTGCACACTGTACCGGTCAAGAAGATACAGTTGTACGATCTTCTGCACCTCCTCAGGTAGCATTGGATGAGGATGAAGAGGATGAAGACGAGGACTATGTGGACAGCGAAGATGAGGGAGAACCTGAAAGTGCTATTCCAGAAGGTGATTCGTCAGACGCTGACGTGGACGATAGTTTTGAGGCTGACATGAGCGCCGTAAGTCTCGGTACCCCAGCCTTGTCACCACTTCATGTCGACCCAGTCAGTAGTGGTAAGTTATTAAATTTGAACATTTGCTTTAGACAATTTATTATTTGTGGTGGTATTCATTCAGACAAATGAGAGTTGATCTTTAGATGCAGGGTCTGAGGAGCCATTCTGGAATGAAAGCCAACATTATTCATTCATTAACTGGGCGCACCCTAATGACGAGTTGGAGATCCTATATGGCGATGATGACTTGCACGGAGGTTGGAAGTTAGGAGATCCGTTATTTGTGCAACAAGAATTTGGGTCCAAACCAGAATTGTAACATGCTGTGAAGATACATTGTATGAAGGGGCGCAGGACAGCCATAGTTGAAAAAAGCGACGAGTCAAGATTTATTATGAAGTGTAAAAACCATGCTGACGGTTGTCCCTGGTATATGAGGGCAATTAAGCCGAAGAAGGGAGCTAATTGGGTGGTCCGTAAATGGGGTCAAGGTCACACATGCCTAAATCAAGGCCTAGCACAGGATCATAGACAGTTGGATTCAAATATCATTTGTGCGGCTATAATGAGTATGTATTCTACTGTGTATTTAATGATTCAGATTAATTGAGAATATGGTAAAGTTATTTTTTTTTTCCAGATATGTTAAAGGAAGATCCATACACAAGACCAGCTCTGATACAGGAGAGGATACAGGGAACATATGGATACAACATAACGTACAGGAAGGCCTGAAAGGCAAAAATGAAGGCCATCGTTAAGTTGTTTGGTGACTGGGAGAAATCGTACGGATTCTTGCCAAATTGGCTGAAGTATATGACGGAGGTGAATGTGGGTTCTGTGTTCAAGCTTGATACAAATCAATGTTTTGATGAACGTCGGGTTTATACAGACAGGGCCGTATTTCAAAGGGTTTTTTGGACATTTCACCAATGCATTGAAGCATTCAAACACTGCAAGCCTATAATTCAAATTGACGGCACTCATCTGTATGGGAAGTACAGAGGTACTCTATTGATTGCAACATCTCAGGATGGAGATGGATTTCTGCTCCCTATTGCCTTTGTTGTTGTTCCTCCAGGTGAGTAAATAATTTTGCTTTGGGGTATGTGAAAGCATGTGACCCTTCTTTGCCACTTCATACTGTAAATAATTTCTGAGCCCATCCCTATTGACTTTGTTGTTGTTCCTCCAAGTGAGAGGTTGGATGATTGGTCTTGGTTTCTTAGCCTTTTATGTTTTCATGTCACACATAGGCATGGTATTTGTCTAATATTCGATCGTCATCGAAGCATCATAAGTTTGTATCAATGGTCTCCCGGTTATAATCACCAAATATATTATGGTTGTCTCCATCATATAGTGCTGCTTCCGTGACACCATCAAAATCGAACCCCAGTAGCTCCGTCCAGATAGGAGCAGTCATGATGATATCAATCCCGCAGACACGGGAAGTCAGCTCGCCTTGCGAGTAGCCAAGGTTCTGGTAGAAGGCTCTTACCATAACCTCCGAGTATGGGCACCGCATCTCCGCCAGGTGAAGTAAATGTGTCTGCTCAAGAAGTGGCACAATGTCAAAACGCTCTAGGTTGAAGAATGCCGAATCCAGTGATTTCGGTTCGCAGATCTTTCGGGTCATGAAAAACTTCACGAACTTCTCGTGTGAAGGTATGTCATCCTCAAACAAATATCCGAACGTCAAGTCCGGAGCCTGACTCGAAGCAGCCTGGGGCTGAGAGGATGACGACCCATCGTGACGACTCTTGGTTCTTCTCTCGGAATGGGTCACTGACAGCTTTGAAACACGTCGAGAGGTCATTGTGTCACACTATTAAACTGAAAAAATAACCAAAATCAGAAATTAGATACATGTTAGGGTTAGGGTTAGGGTTAGGGTTAGATTCAGGGTTAGGGTTAGGGTTAGGGTAAGCGTATGACATACAAATTGATAAAATAATTCGGACAGAATCAAATGATATAAGCGAAAATACAATGAATCAGAACAGAAATCATAACATAATTGAAAAAACTGAAAAAAAAATGCACCTTTGATCGATTTCAATCGGTAGAAGGCAGAGAGGTTGCAAGGTCCGCGAATGATGATCAGAAACAAGACGAATTGGTGCAAGATTATGCCTGAAATCGCTCCAGAAGAAACTCCTCCAGCAGCTCTACTCGGGTACCCCTTTTGTGGGTTTTCGAAATGGGGCTGCTGGGGTATTTTAAAACCCTACCGTCGATGTTTACCCGGGTACACTGCTTCATACCCGGGTAAATAATTCAACTATTTTCCCAGATTCAAGAACACTACCCGGGTACACTCCTACATACTCGGGTAGATAAAAAGTTTCAAAAATTACCCGGGTAGGTAATGGTGTACCCGGGTAGGCTTCGTGGTCAACGGTCAAACAGGGGCAGATTGGTGTTATGTTTGTTGGGGAGGGTAAATTTTCGAAATAGTTTTGAATGAAGGGCAATTTGGTAATTAATTATTAATTAAGGGTCAAAAAGCCCAGATATCTTAAATATAAGAGTTCTTAATATGGATTTAATGTATCCAGTAAAAAAATATTTTTATAATTTTAATTTATTTTATGATTATATTAATTTTTATCATTATAATTTTTAATTTTTTAATCCTAAAATTATTGCATTTTTAATTTACTGGAGAAATATTTTTTCCTTCTTATATACTTTAATAATATTATATTAAATCTAACAAAAACATTACATTTGGGTCATATGCTAATATTGTTTGATACAGGTTTATATGTGAACAACGTGTGAATTCACTCTTTTTAAGTCTTCTCGATCGTATGCTGATTGAGAGTCCAAAGCTAAATCAATATAGACAAGTGTGGGAAATGCAATTAGGGTTCATAGAAATTATGCATAGAGAAAAGATAAAGTGGGACCAAGAAATTGAACTAGAGGGTGGAGCAAGAATCCTTGACAAATATAAATTGTTAAATTAAATTCAAAATATTATTTAATAAATTTTAATTCATTTTCAACCTTTTAGAAAGTTAGGTTCATAATATCTTAAAATCTATTTTCAAATAAATCTCTTATTCGAGACAAAAAAAATGGGGTTGAGCCCGGCGGGTCAACCCGTCAACCCGTCAAAACGGGGCGGGTTGGGTTGAGATTTTCAACCCACCAACCCACCTCAACCCGCCGCGGGGCGGGTTGACCCGTCAGGTTTTAAATTTTTTTATTATTTTTTTTATTTTTTTACAATTAGGTAGTATTTCATTAGTACTTAAATTTTTGTGATATTCAATTTTTTTTATCTTAGTACTTTCTAGAAAAAATAAAGAATAACAATTTTATTTATGACAAATGTTATCTATTTATAAATTCCTAAAGAATGTTTGACAAATATTAGTATACATTTAAGATTGAGACTAAAAAAAATATAGAGAAGTGTGAAATAAAATAAAATAATATTAAAAAAATTCATAAAATATAATTTATTTTTGAATTTTAATTAATTTTTTTTTAATTGGCAGGTTGGTGGGTTGACCCGCCAACCCACCATAAAATGGGGTGGGTTCATTTTTACAAGCTATATTTTTTGGCGGGTCAACCCGCCCCGCTCCGTTTTTTGTGGGTTGGTGGCCGGGCAGGGCGGGTCGGGGCGAGTCAACCCAAATTGCCACCCCTACTATGCTTCTAGAAATAAGAAAAACAGGTACAACGGACCAAATCATCCGCAATCTCAATTATCAAATAAATTCAAATGAACCAAAATGGTGGTACATAGAGACCTAAATAAATCGAAAGAAAAGTGAATGGGTTGGATTCCACATATTATTTTTAGGATAGATTTAAATATTTACATTTTTTATCTATCGTGCACTCCTAATTAGTATCTAGCCAGCTTAAAGAATTAAGTTTCTAGGAATACATGAAGAATGTTATAAAAATTGGATCGATTTGGCTGGATCAACCTCAGAACCGGTCATGTAACCAGTCCAATTTTTATATTGGATAGACCATGTTATAGAATCGATGTGATCTGATGTGACCGGTCATGTGACTAGTTTATTATTATCAATTGATGTTTTTTTTCACTTGCACATACAAATTGTTTATTTTATTTTTTTAAGATATTTAAGTGATCTATAACTTATTAATTTACATAGATTATGTACCTACAACACTAATATTATCTTGATTATGCAATATGCAGAAAATTTTGATTTGATTAGTTAGATATGTCGTCTACTAAACTTGAAACATCAGTATCACAAATATTATATGTTTGATTGGTCTTTTGTTAGTTAATGATTTGTAATTTATTATTTTTCATATTAAAATATTTGAATTGATATATTTTTTATAGGTATTTAAATATATTTATATTTTTTTAATATAAATTATAGATTTATATATAGGAAAAAAGACTTCTCATGTTGCATGAGAAGTCTCCTCTTCTACCACTCTCACTTCGATATCCGTGCCAATCAATTTTCTATTTTTTATTTTTCTTTAAGGTGGGGCCCCACCCCTTTTTCTCTCTGTAGGAAAACTTGAATTTCTCATACAACATGAGAAATTACAAGCCCTTATATATATTTATTGGGTCATGCGGTTGAATCAATAATCTATTGATTGAACTAATGATGCACTACCTCGATCCGGTCAGGTTTTATAACATTGACAAAGGGAACTAACTCACCTCGAAAAAATAATTTTAATTAAGTTAACTCAAAAAAAATAAAAAATAAAAATAAATACAAATGAATTTAAAAAAAAAGAAGAAGATACTATCCGTTGTCAGTGCCACGTAGTCATAAGGCAATCAATACACTCAATCCGGGGCCCACAAGGCACTACCTTACTTACCGTCCTCAGTCGTACGTACGTTACAATGAATTAAAGTACCACGTTATGTGTCCTGGTCAACAGTTCAGTTAACAACATCCCAGTACCGTTTATCACTAAATAAGTGTATAAATCATCACTAATCCTGTGATTACATTTAGAAAAGCCAATTTTGATGTGACCAAAGGGTAATGACTCCACGAGATGACTCACATTCAGAGGAAGGTTGCTTCTGCCTTCCACTAATCATTTATAATATTTGCATTACAACAACGTTTCCCAGGGCAAGCGATTCATCACACCATGGAATCGTTCTTGTTCAAAACTAACCACACATACCACCATCATGTGGAGTTGACGGCCATGGATTTGTCATGGATGGTTGAGTTTCTTAAGGGCATGGTGAAGCCTGCGGCTGCCACCGCCGTGGTGTTTCTGGCTGTGGCCTTATCCTTTTGGCAAAAGCTGGGGTTGGAGTGGGAAATGGTTTATGCCATGTTAAGGGCTTTTATTCAGCTTTCTATTATTGGGTTTGTGTTGCAGTTCATATTCAATCAAGACAACGCTGGATGGATCATTCTAGCATACCTTTTCATGGTTAGTCAATAGTCATAATTCATATTTCCTTGTTTTGAACTTCAAACTTCAACTCTGTTTCCCAAACAGAGCTTTTAGTTTCCATAGAGAAAATAGTAGTGGAAATTTAGTTGGGTGTGCTTTTTCTGCTTCTTTCAATTAAATATCATTTCTAAAATTTCTCATTAATTAACCAAAGGTTACCCCACTTCCTTTCCAATTTCATTTTGTGTTAGTAATTTCTAAAATTGAAGGATCTCTTACAAGAATGTTTTTTGGAATATTAATTGATCCTCTTATTTAATGTTTTATTTTTCTTTTCTTTTACTTCAGTGATGAATTTCTAACAAAAGGATTTCAGGTGTTCTATGCCAATTTTCACTTGAAAAGTTTAATACTAATGTATATCTTTCCCTGCAGGTGTTTGTTGCTGGTTACACAGCGGGTCAACGTGCGAAACAAGTCCCACGTGGGAAATATGTTGCTGGTGCTTCCATTCTCACAGGAACAGCAGTGACTATGTTGGTGCTAGTATTACTGAGCGTGTTCCCGTTCACTCCAAGATACATCATCCCCGTAGCAGGCATGATGGTTGGAAACGCAATGACAGTAACCGGTGTTACCATGAAAAGACTCCGTGACGACATTAAAACACAAACGAACTTGGTAACTCTTATAACTCCTGCTCCTGTATCATGTAACAAATTTCAATGGCCTTTTGACAATATTAAATTTTTTTACAAAATTATTTACCTTTCAAAATTCAAACATTTTACGAAGTTATTGTCCTGAGACACGGCATGAGAGTTTGCGCTCAAGTAGCGTATTAGATAATACACAACTTGCGATCGTAGATCGCTATCTGTGGAGCTTGAACGCACATATTCTATGCACAAATTATGATGGTAAAATATTTAAATTTTAAATCAACATTTCAAAAAAGTTTCAATGGGTAAAAAGCCAATTTCAACATATCCATGTACAACAACCCAAAAAACAAAGTAATAGTTTTAAGGGTTTATTGTATGTTATGTTACATCTCCTACGTACAAAAAATGTATGGAGTTTATACTTTTTCTATCGTTTTGGGAGTTTAGAAATAATGTTTTAAGTCCCTCGTCAGATAGGATATCGAATATATGCTTTCATCTCTACTTGTTAGAGAATAATATAAAATTATTAAAAAGGTTATCACCCAACACCTTAAGGTTTTGGGTTGAGATGATTATTTACATAATATCAGAGATTTAATGACCGGTCATCAGTTCGATCATATCCCCATTTTCTAGTGAAATTAAGTAAATTAAAAATTAGACTGTGCAATCTCCATATTTCAAGACTAAAAGATTCTTTTGTGAGGGGTGTGTTAGAGAATAATATAAAACCATTAGAGATGCCTTCACTCAACAATTTAAGATTTTGAGTTGAAATAATTATTTATCACCTGCTCAGTTCTCATGCGACAACTGAACTGAGCTACCACCATTTTTATACATGTACAAGACACAATTTTATCTAGTAAAATATCGTAAATATCAAACCTTAGTTTTAATCATTTAAATCATTTTAAAGTACAGGTTGAGACTGCATTAGCACTAGGTGCAACTCCACGACAAGCTACGCATCAACAGGTGAAAAGGGCTTTGGTTATAGCACTTTCTCCGGTAGTGGACAACGCCAAAACAGTGGGTTTGATATCGCTACCAGGGGCAATGACTGGTTTGATTATGGGAGGGGCATCACCATTGGAAGCAATTCAACTACAGATTGTGGTGATGAATATGTTGATTGGTGCATCAACTGTCAGTAGCATAATGTCTACATACCTCTGTTGGCCAGCGTTCTTCACCAAGGCCTACCAATTAGAGACCAAAGTCTTCTCAACTTGAATCTACCTTAAATGATGAAAGTACACGCTTCAATTCTCCCTCCGCTTGTAAATCAGGACAAGAAAGTCTAGGGAGTGAGGATTTCTTTTTTCTTTTTCTTTTTTTCTTCTTGTTTTAGGTTTGTGTTGTGGGTGTGAGGTTTGGTTTAGAGAGCTAGTACATACTCATCAGAGAAGGGGGATTTTGATAGACAGTAACGTTACCACTTATGTAATTGACTAATTGCTAATGTGGGTAAAGATGGGTGAATTTCTATTCAGCTCCAATTGTAGATGTCCAATTTTTGTTATTTTTTTTGTCTAATACAATATATTAAAAGATGGCGGTAAAGCATTAAAGAGAAAAGAGAAATAAAAAAATGAGTCTCATTTATGTTTGTGTATGCATAAAATAAAACTATATGATATAACGTAACATGAGAAATATATTTCTTTTTTTATAATTACTTAATTGGTCATGTTTTAGCACAAATTATTTTGTTTAATTTATATTAAACAAAATACTTTCTTTTCTTTTATTCTTTTTTGGAACAATTGTAAATGACCAAAATATTTTTTTTTTATTACTCAATTGATGTTTTTATTTTTTTTTCAAACGAATACTTTACATAATTTTTTTACAATTCCCGTGATTACTTTGTTTCATTAGTAAACTTTCCCGAGATTACTTTAATTTATATAATAGGGGTCCACTCTGTTAACTATATGTTGACCTGCGCAAAGAAAACTATTTAATTTTATTTAGTTAAAATATACTCTTAACTATTTTATAATATTTAATTTTACTTAAACATGAACAAGTAAATACAAAAAAAGATGAAAATGTGTGCCAATTTTACATAAAAATGATAAAAAATACTTCTATCACAATAAGGAGTAATTAATTTTACCCGATGGGTGTAGCTCAGTTGATAACTTGACGCTGAGTTAGTGGGGTTGGATATGTGTTCGATTCCCGCTGAATGCATTCTTGGGGAGGGGGCTGAACCTTTAGCCATTTCCCCCGCACTCCGGATTAGTTTCATAGCCGGCTCAAAGAGTCGAAGCTCGTGGGGATACCGGAGGGAGCCAACTCGTCTCAAAGAGATAATTAGGGTTGGGTAACTCCAAAAAAAAAGGAGTAATTAATTTCAATATATATAAGGTATGAAAAATGTTTCACTTATATATAAAAATAAATTATGTGAATTTATTAGGTATAGCCACCTTATCTCCGTCAAGGCATGTGAAGTTTATCTGTATCCTCAAATTTGCAGCCAAAGTGTAAATCTTAAAGCACTTGAACCACTTCTTTATATGCTAAAAAAGTTAGAATTCAAATTGGTAAGAACAAATTAATCACCATATTAATTATTAATTAATACTATACAAGTATATATAATGAAAATAAAACCAGGCAAAAGTAAAATTACTTTTCACGCAAAACTATTTTTAGTTTTGCAACCCATATTCTCCTTGTATTGTATATGTCCAAACGTAAGCATTCATCAACTCCTATCCTCTCTCACATTAAAAAAAAAATAGTGGAATCACTCGATGCCTTCATTGAAGTACTTTGATATGGGAAGAGAGCAGGAGATACAGGAAAGAACGGAAAAAGAAGCTCAGGAGGACAACATTGCTGATAAGAGGGCAAAAAGAATTAAGAAACGACCACTTAGATATCGTAGTGATGTGTAGAAGGAATAGACACACGAGACAGTTAGTTAGTTAGAAAAAGAATAACAGACTTTTGTAATAGAGTAGTCTTCCCTCTTCAGTATATAAGAGGAGGAGAGTGTAATCAAAGGACACTTTTCATATGAAATAAAACAGAATTCTTGCTTCTCATCTTCTCTGTAATCCTTCTTTTCTCTTTCCTCTTCTACGTGATAGGATTACCTATCAATTGGTGCTTTCATTTGAATCATGCCTCCAGAGACAAGAGCACGCTCCATGGATGATCGACTGGATTAGACCCAGTCCAAAGTAGAAACTCTGAAGGAACAGATGAACAAGAAGTTTCAAGAACTCACATTCAAACTGGATGCAATCTTCGACAATTATCAGGAAATGAGTTCTTCCTCATCACCAGCAGATGCACAACACTGGAATACAAATGCCAATGATAACCAAGCAACTCGTAATCTCAGGCTCAAAGTTCCTCGATTTGATAGATCCAGTGATGCTCAAGATTGGATTTTCAAAGTGGAGCAATTCTTCGATTTTTATGAAATGAACGAGCCACAATGTTTACGTATTGTACCATTCTATTTCGAAGGGAAAGCTTTGGCTTGGTATCAATGGCTTCGGAAAAATACAACAATTGTTTCTTGGCCATTGTTCCTCCAGTCACTTCAAGTGAGATTTGGACCCTCTGAATGGGAGAATTACCAGGGACAACCAGCGAAACTAACTCAGCAGGGATCAGCCATGAAATATCAGGAATAGTTCAAGACTTTATCCAATAAGGTAAATGGTTTATCAAAATTCTTCTTATTGAGATGTTTCATTTCTGGTCTGAAACCCATAATTCAGCATGAAGTTAATTCTTTTCGACCCACCACCCTTATAAATGCAATAGCATTGGCAAAGATTCAAGAAACCAAATTATCCTACAAACACACTTACCCCAAACTTCATTCACCCCACCCACCATTGTTACCTACACCACCAATCATGCTATTGCTTCATTCACCTCACTTACATTATATATTACATGATCATTATAAAATAAAATATGAAAGAAATCACTATTTTAAAATATTTATTTTAATATTAATTATATGGACACTGTCACTATTTAACTAATTTATTATTATAATATAATTTTAAATAAAACAAATAAAATATTGAAATTAAACAAAAATTAAAATTACTCTATACGAAATATTTTATAAAGAAAATATTATTCACAATCTGCAAGAAAGGCTATTCTAAATAAATAAATAATATCTTACAAAAAAATATTTCTTTCTTCTCTTGTTTGAAATATGACAGGACAAAATATTGGAAGACAATGGAAAGCATTGGTGGCTATGTTGCACCGACACGACATGGGACACATGATATGATATGATACGATACTTTGACTCGTTAATTTTAGAAAATGCTAGATTTTAACATGTTAAGACACATTTTGATATTAAATAATATTTTAATTTATGTAGTATATATTATATTTAATCTTCAAAATTTAACAAAAAAATGAAGCTCAACTTATAATATCCATCAATTTTGCAAAGAAACATAAGATATCCCAAATATTTATATTAAACTCAATAAAATAGTAATCATGATCCAACCAATCTAATAATTGGAACTAAAAATGCAACGCAACTTTCGAACCCTTTTTTGAGTCTCTGTAATGCGTGTTGAAGTGTCGGATACGACACGTCAGGTGCATCATAGATTGGTGGTATACGGTGAGGTACAATATACAAGGAAGCGCCAACGAAAATATTTTTATTATTCCCGTAATACTAAATATTTGATATATTTTTTATTAAATTTGGTAAAATGTAATAGAATCAACTTTTCCTATTTTACCTACCCTTTCATGATTATTGACACCTACATCCCGTCTTTTTCCTATTTTTAATAAGGGAGTACATACTCTCTTAATATCAAATATATGCTCCCTCAGAACACACGGTCAATGAAAAACGTAGCAATAGGGGTGTAAATGAGCTGAGTGTCAAGGGCTCAAGACTTGGCTTACTTTAAGCTTGACTTGGGCTGACTTGTTTAATAAATTGAACGGGTTCAAGCTTTAAAAAAAGCTTGTTTAGCAAACAAGCTCAAGCCTAATTTAATAAGGCTTGGCTTGAAAGCCTGTGAGTTGTCTCGATATATTATTATAATAAATAAGATATTTTTATGTCATTAAACCATTAACCCTATTTTTGTAACCCTATTTTTTTTACTATTGTCTAACTCAACAAGCAACTGACCAAACTCAGGTACTCTTTCTCTATTCTTCTTTAATTTGAAGATTGTAATATAATAAGCTTTGGAGTTTGGACAGTGAAGTCGTCACAGGTTTTTTGTGTGTGTGTTCTTTTTCGCATTGCAAGCGGCGCCAATCGCACATTCTCTTGGTTTATTAAGTTATAATGAGCTAGATCAATGTTTAAGAAGAAATTGCGGATCTAATTATTCGATCTTAAAATATATGTGGACTGAGTGAGTTCTGTGATTGTTTTTTCTCTGTCGAAGGAGTACATAATTTGATGCATTTATAGTCTCAACATTTTGATGTATGTGAATTTGGAAAAATATATTTTATAATTATAAATGAGCCGAGTCAAGCCAAGCTTTAGCCAAGCCTTTAATTTTTATAAACAAGCCAAGTTCAAAATATTTTTCATAGGCTTGGCTCGTTTAAGCTAAAGTTTGGCTCGGCTTAGCTCATTTACATCCCTAGGTAGCAAACTACAATATACTTGAAGTTGTATGGTTTCTTACATATACTTTTTTGTTTACAAACTACATTATGTACTAGGGATAGTATATTCCAGCACACAGCTTACGACCCTAGTACATAGTGTAATTTGTAAGAGTTTGTAAAAAAAAGTTTGAAAATATAACCCTTCTTATATATATATATATATTTCAATTTTTCTACAACTACTTTACGTACAAATTTTAAATTTGGGGAATTATAACTATACAAAGGTAGGTGAAAGCATTAAATATAAGAAATCAATGATCAAGATTAATTGTTGTACGTAAAGTAGTTGTAGAAATAATTTTATCATACATACATATATATATATATGTGTGTGTGTGTGTGATATGATCAACTTATATCGGTGTAACGTGTAAGAATAATAAGTCTTACATCAAATCTTAACCGTTAATTTCTGTTCATCCAACGGTTCAGATTTATTGGATTTCACTTATTAATTTTCAATAAATAACAAATATTAGATGCACATATATAAATTAACGGTTAAAATTTGGTGTAAGACTTATTATTAAAAAAGGTAAGAAATAAGTAAAAAAAAAATTGCGTGCGAAATACATCAAAAATGTTTCAAGAGTTTTATTTATCAACTCATACAAAAAATGGACAAGTCATTAAATATTTAGATTACTTTATTTTAAATTAAATAAATTTATAATTTTTTAAAAGAACTTAAAAAAATAATTTTTATTATTATACATGCACATAGTAGTAGGATGATTATATATGTTAAAGTTTTTTTTAGTAGATAAAAATTTAGGTGAGATTAAATATTAATATCCTATCCGGACCAAGGCAAATCCTTTAATCTCTTTGAAGATTTCTAAGAGGAATTATACATCGCAACACTAACGAATTCCTCATATTTGTTAGTGGGATTTGAACGCACACCTTTATAAAGTATAAATCTAATCCTTAATCAACTACGATGTTGGCAATTTTTTTATTTTATATCCAAAAGGTAGTTTGCTCAAGGATTAATTTGGCTCTAACCGCGACATATTAGTAATGAGTTTCAAAATCCACCTTTGCATCCTCTCTCACACAGTCATAAGGGTGTTCGCGGACTGAATTGAATTGGTTTTGAAACAAAAATCATTTAATCAAATCCTTTTGATTTGATCATTTAATTATCCATTCAGTTTGAATTTTTTTTTAAATCCGATCCTATCCAATTCAATTTTATTCGGTTTGAATTAGATCAATTTTTAATTTTTTGAAAAGGCTAAAATTTCAGTCATACAATTCACTAGTTATATCAAAATAAAGTCATTCAAAATTACAAACCATTAGAGAATTCAAGACTTCAAAGTTCAAACTAAAACAAGTCTTAAAACTCATGAAAAGTTAAAATAGATTAATAGATAATAAAAAATTAAAACAAGATAATTTGCTATCAATAACATCCAAGATTCCAAGTCTATAAAATAAAAAGATTCAAAATTATCATCTTTTGAAAATAATATATATAGAATACATTCGATCAGTTTGGATTGGATTGGTTTTCACCCACTAAATCGAAAAACAATCCAATCCAATTAAAATATATAGGTTTTTTTTTTTATTTTTAGTTATCGACTTTTCGGTTTGATTATCATAGTTTGAATCATTTTGGATTAGTTAACGAACATACACACACAGGTTCAGCTTGAACACTCCACGTGTAACTAACTCTACAAAGTACCAAAATCAACTATAATGTGTATATTAATTCCCAAAGTAAAATTGTATCGCCTCCCAAGCTAATTTATTCTTAGTGTTGTTTATTCCTTCCCTTATCAATTTCATCAAACAACGTGGAAACATCTTGGTGAGAACCACAACTTAATTAGATCTTCCTGTTAAATTTATTGCATCATTTAAGTGTGAAATTAATTTAGTCAAGCACAACATTGCAAATTCATTTAAGCACAGAACAATATTCTTACAAGTTGCGTACGTAAACTTAAACATTTGTCTTTCTTTAAAATGTGCAATTTACTTATTAGTTATTACTATGTCTAATATCAGCTATGCCGCTATTTTTTTTTTCTTATGACAAATATTTTACCTAGAGTTCACTTATTACTAAATTTTGTCAATATTCGAATTGTAATTGGGTTTTAAATTGATTAAATTTAACGTTGTAGTTACGATTGCAACTTATAATAACGAGACTCCGTAGTAATAAGAAATTTTTACGTTATTTAAAATTTGTATAGAATACTTGTATCCAATCCAATTGGGTGCTCATTGCATTTTTTAAAAATAGTTGTTTGATTGTTAAAAAAAAAAATTTGTTTGAACCTCAAGACAAAAAATTCCACTGGAGAAATATTATTGGGAAAACCTTTGACATTTACCACATTGGGTTGAAATAACGAAAACAATGCATATATCTCTAAAATACTGCATTAATTCAAAATCATGTAATCCTTTTATAACATTAAGCATACATAGAGATATTTAAATAAACATATATCAATCTAGATGCTGTTAAGATTCCAAAGCCAAGAAGGACAATTCTCTCACTGCAAAAAAAAAAGGCAAAATGAAGAAGAAGAAAGTTTCTAAATATCTAAGATTGATCCAGTGACGAGGGATTTAGGTAAGTTGTATTTTGTGTATTCAATTTTCATCAATGTATCAAAAAAAAAAGTTTCTAAATATCTTGTTGTTGAAACCAATAATAATTTTCTACAATCTGCCAGCGCTGCGGCGAAGAACCCTAATTAACATTATAGTGTACATGATGTAATTATATATATTATAATATGATATTATTGTTTTTTATGTTGTAAAAGATAATTTTATCTTTTACACAAAAAATATGGTATCTATATTTTTTTTTTTTCTCTTTTCTCTTCACATTAGCTCCACATATTTTTATACATGTAGAGGATAATTTTGTCACCAAGAAATATTAATCCTTTGTAATATTAGGATGAGTTAAATTACCATGTTGGTTCGGCTAGGCTATATGTGCATTTCCAAAGGGTTCTCATTAACATAGTTACCAGGAGGGTCATACTCGCAAGCAACGAGCATACCAGCACTCGTGTTGAAGCAATGCTGCAACGCACACCCAACGCGAGTGGAGTCCCGCCACACGATCTGTGTGAAGTGGTCGCACATCTTCGGTGGCGACGCGCACTTGCGCGTGTTGAAATCGTACCAACGCTTCTCCCTGTACCAGAAATACACCGCATCGGAAGGTGTCCAATGCCGCTTCCGTCCCCAAAACAAGTTCTCGCCGTAGTCTGCGGTCGAATGAACCATCTTGCAATCGTTGTAGCGCTGCATGAGATACCCACGCGCGAAGCTCGCGAGTTTCTCGTCCCATGCGAAGGGTGGAAGCTTGTACTCGTTCCTCACCCAATTGTGCGCGTGAAGGAACTCTTCCGCCAACTTGGTATGGTTGTTAAAATCTTGGGGGTTGTTGCTTCGAACGTAACCGAATAATTTCCCGGGGTTGCCACGGTGGTGCCCTCCTCTTTGTCCATGGCCGCCGCCGCGACGGCTGTTGGTGGTTGTAGGTGGCTGCTGCTGCGTAGAGACGGTGGAAAGAAAGAGGAGAAGGATTCCAAAGGGGAAGAAGGGATGCATTGTGAGATTTTGATGGACGGTTGTTGAATGGATTAGCGGCTCTCGATGGTCCTCCGAGAGCCCCGGCTAGATAGAAAGGATTATAAGAAGCTTGGGATTTTGGGGTCTTTTTATATTTGACACTAGCTATTCCTTCAACAAGAACCTTTCGTAAAACGTTATTTTTAACTTTTTCGCTGCAAATAGGTAGGTACATGTGTGTCGTCATTTCATGTTGGCAAGCTGCATATGCATTCTAGAATGCAAAACTACATTTTGAACTAAATAGCGCGGTTTTTGGGTGTCCACAGGTTTTATCAATAGTCAAAACGTTACTGATTTTTTGTTTTTTCACTTCACGTATGCATCGGAATACCTGTACCCGTCTTAAATTCATGATTCCTATATATTTACCTAATAACGTAACGCATTTCATATTTGCGGTTAGATTAAAATTTTATTTTATTAAATTACATTTGAACATTCATTAAACTAAGAGGGTGGTATACTCTCATAAGCTATTAAGTTATATTGTTAAGTTTGTTTGATCCTCTGGAGGTTTTTGACCCTTTAATATCCCTATATTTGGTATTGGATGGGTATATTTTACCGTTAGGGTGTATTTGTTTATGTGAAAGGGTCCTAGCGGGTTTGAGTCACGTCCCCTCTCCTAAGCGAAACAAATTTTGAATGTGGGATTATTTATACGGTATGGAAAGGGACTTGGATAGTTGGGATTGTGTCATGTGACACACCTCCAAGTTCCCATTTGGGGGTGTTCAAATAATTCCGCTGAGGTAGGTTAGCAAAATTGTTTGAGAGAAGAAAAAGAAACTTGTTCCTCTAGGGAGAGGGGGCATGACTCAAACCCGCTGGGACTTTTTATGGATAAAAGCCCCCAACGATAAAATACACTCATCCAATACCAAATAAGGATATTAAAATATCAAAGACCATATTTTTTAAAGTCCCGTGACAAGAGAGATGATCAAATGAATTCCAAACCGTCATTAACCAATGAAAAGTGGGGTGGAGCGGGGTAGATTGGTTCACCTTTTAGAAGTTGGTTAAAAATATTTAACGATCCCATTTTATAGTAGGTTGACATTTAAATAATAATAAAATTAAAATGTAAAAATAAAATCTTATTTTATGGATTTTCTAATATTATCTAATTACATCTCATGTTTTTATTTTTATTTTTAATCCCTGGTCTAAATGTACATTAATATGAGGTTTACAATTTCTAAAAACTCATTTTTACTTCCATATAAATGAATAACATTCGTCATAAGTCAAGTGTTTTATTTTTTATCTATTATAGAGGAGGATTGAGATAAAAATATTAGATATAACAAAATTTTGACATGATAAATGAAATAGTAGCTGCCACTAAAAAAACTAACTCACGAGTTGAACCAAGTACCCAACCTGCAAATTGACCCACTTTAACTAGTCTTAATACGGACGAATTATGGTGTATTGAGTTATAAGGTTAGAATGTTTAACTCTTCGTTAAATTAGATGGGTTGAAGGACGAGTGATATGCAATTGGTGTTAGGAAGTATACATGTTTAATTGTGTATTAACTCTCAATATATTTTGCTTTATCATCATTTGGGATTCTTAGTTTGTTGACATATAGTTTGCAAAATTACAATTATTACTGAATATTAAATTACACCTTTTTTTTTGTATAACTGTTGACATGTAGTTTGCAAAATTACAATTATCATGAGGCCAGCCGGCCACTCAAGTATTGAATTAAGATTTAATTATAGTTAAAGTTTTGGAAATCCGATTTTCTCGTCGTTCTACTCGCTACTCAGTACTCAGCCTATCTTGTTACACGCATTGGGTAGTTTTCATTACATGTTAAATTACACCTTATGGTAGGTATGAGTTTGTTGCAATTGTTTGTTGATGTATGTGTGTGGAATTGTAGAGGGGCTGGGAAAAAATGTTTTTCTCCCCTAGTTAGAGATATATCACGTCGATACAACATTCAAGTTTTGGCTCTTCTTGAAACTCGGATAGGGGGCGACCGAGCTCAGAAAGTTGCGAAAGGTCTTGGTTTTCCTAAATATATGTTGGTCCATCCAAATGGTTTTTCTGGTGGACTTTGGATATTGTGGAATGATGGAGAAGCAAATGTTCAAATTCTTGAGACTCATCAACATTTAAAAATTAATTGGTCAAATAAAAAAGAGAGGAAGTTGTAACTTTTGTCTATGCCAATCCTCGTCGTTAGGAAAGGATACCTCTTTGGGAAGCTCTGGCTAGGATCCATCAGCAAACTTCGGAGGCTTGGTGCGTTTTGGGAGATTTCAATGCTTACTTGAATGCTTCGGAGAAGGAGGGAGGGGGTTCACCAAATTGGAGAAGCATCCAAGATTTCCAGCAATGTCTTTTAAATTGCAATCTTGAAGATTTGGGTCATCAAGGCCCATCGTTTACTTGGCACAGAGGCAGGTTAAAGGAACGACTTGATAGAGTTGTGTAAATGAGCAATGGCAGCAATCTTTTCCAAATAGGGTAGTTTATCATCTTCCATTTTTCAGCTCTGATCACCGACCTATTCTTCTTTGGGAGGGCCAGCTATTGCATAAGTCCAGAGGAAACCTTCCTTTCAGATTCATGGCATCTTGGCTTACTCATGAAGATTTCCCATATTTAGACCAGGAATGCTGGGCTAGGGGCACATGTTAGAATTCGGCTTCTGTTGCTTTCCGGTCTAGAGCAACTCGTTGGCATAAGGATTGCTTTAAGGAAGAAGCTAAGCTGAAGAATAATTTCCATGCTAGAATCAGGGGATAGACAGAAGCTTAATTCGTCGTCCATGTCATGCTTTGGAGATGCTTCAGAAGGATCTTTGGCGTCAATTGAATCTCATTTACATTAGGGATGAGCTTATGTGGTTCTAAAGGTCTAGGGCTAAATGGATAAAATATGGGGACCGTAATACAAAATTTTTTCACTCCTCCACAGTTGCTAGACGTGGAAGAAACCAGATTGACATGCTTCAGAATGAAGATAGTGAGTGGATTGGTGATCCTGCCTTATTGATGGAAATCGCTATAGATTACTATCGTACTTTGTTCAAGGAAGATACTCCCATGAGACCTAGGTTTCCTCTTAGAGGTTGTTTCCCTGAACTTAACCAACAGATCAGAATTAACATTGGGAACATGCCTTCAAATGAGGAGATTAAGGATATAGTGTTCTCCATGGGTCCCCATAAGGCTCCAGGCATAGATGGTCTCCATAGTTTATTCTTTCAATCTCAATGGTGGACGGTTGGAGATTCCGTTTGTGATTTGGTGAAGGATGTCTTCCAGAATCCTCATAGAGTCCGAGATATCAATCAAACCCTTCTCTGTTTGATCCCGAAGTTGAACTCTCCTCAATCTTTGAAAGATTTCAGGCCAATAATTAGCCCATGTAATGTTATTTACAAGGTAATTACGAATCTTATTGCTAATCGTTTGAAATTGTAGATGGACAAAATTGTTATGCCCAATCAGTGCAGCTTCATTAAGGGAAGACAAGGCACATATAATGTTATTATTGCGCAGGAGATCATCCATTCCATGAGGTCCAAGAGAGGAGCAAAAGGTTGGATGATGATAAAAATGGACCTGAAGAACGCATATGACAGAGTTAACTGGAACTTTTTAAGGGATACACTTCATGATGTTGGTCTTCCCTCTATCATCATAGATCTTATCATGTGGTGTGTTTCATCATGTTCTATGAATGTTCTATGGAATGAGCTACAACTCATGATTTTAATCCGACTAGAGGTCTTAGACAAGGCGACCCATTGTTCCCTTACCTCTTTATTCTTTGCATGGAAAGATTAGTGCACCTTATCTCTTGTGTAGTTAGTGAGAAGTATTGGAAACCGATAGTTCTTCGCAAGAATACACCTCCTATTTCTCACCTAGTTTTTTGCAGATGGTCTCTTATTATGTGCAGAAGCTTCTTCTGAACAAGCGCAGGCCATTTCGACTATTTTGAATGTTTTCTGTAAGTCTTCTGGGCAAAAGGTGAATCACGACAAAATTAAGATTTTCTTCTCCCGAAATGTTAGTCACGCTTTGGCTATGGACCTTAGCTCACGGTTGGGATTCATGAGGACTGCGGATCTTGGTAAGTATCTGGGCATCCCTCTTCAACATCGGAGGATTAGTAGGAGGAATTTTAGTCATATTCTGGACCGAGTCCAAGCTAGAATTAATGGCTGGAATCACTCAAGTTTGTCTTTGGCGGGGCGTATAACTCTTTCAAAGGCAGTTTTATCAAATATTCCTGCCTATCCAATGCAAGTTTCTGCTGTTCCTCTTGGTGTTTGTCAAGATATTGAGAAACATATGAGAAGTTTTGTGTGGGGCTCATTACGTTCAAGGAATCGGCCTCATCTGGTTGCGTGGGAACAAATCTGTTTAGATAAAAAAATATGGAGGTTTGGGTATTATGCGTTTGAATGATGTCAATAAGGCGTTCATTATGAAAGTTGGGTTTGGTATTCTTTCTAACCCAGATGCGTTATGGGTTAAGGTTCTTAGAAGCAAGTACCGGGTGAATCATGATATGCTCCCAGTGGTTGTGGCGTCCCATAACAACTCTAGCCTTTGGAGAGCAATTGTATCTTGTTGGCCTAATATTTTATTGCACTCAAGAATATTGATTGGAGATGGGAAGTTAACTAGATTATGGATAGACTCCTGGGTTCCAGGTTGCGGTCATCTTTCCTCCTATGCTCTCACAAGCATTTCTCATCAAGTAGATCAAGTTATGGTTTCCAGCTATGTCTCTTCAACGGGAACCTGGTGTTGGGAGGCTTTGCAAAATCTTATTCCTCTTCACATCTTGGCACGTTTAAATAATATTCCCCCACCTATGGATGATGGCAACCAGGATAGGATCATTTGGTCCAGGACGTCAGATGGGGTTTTCACGTTGAAGTTTGCATTTACAACGATCTCCAGAATCGTAGATTGTACTATCTCTCTCCCTTGGAACTGTGTTTGGGATTGGAAGGGTCCTGAATGAGTTCGAACGTTCTTGTGGCTTATGCTAGGAGAAAAGCTATTAACTAATGAAAGAAGGTGTAGGCGACATATGGCAAGTAATGACATGTGTCAGGTATGTCATCATTTCCCTGAATCCACCCTTCATGCTATCAGAGATTGTGATGGAGCGCTGCAAGTGTGGAAGTTCGTTGTGAAGCAAGAAGTGTGGTCTGACTTTACTTCCCTAGACCTGCATCATTGGATGATAGCTAATATTTCTAATGATCGGTCTTGGTCTAACTTGACACACCGGTCATTATTCTTTGGGATTATCTCCTGGTTCATTTGGCAAGCTAGGAATAGGTTAATCTTTCAGGGGACGACGGACATTGCTTATAACACTTATAGAGCGGCTTTGAGATACGGAGAAGGGGCTATTTCAACATCAAGCATATTGGAAGAAGCTACTCTTGAGTCTAGTCCGAAAAGGGAGAAACTTGTATCATGGATTTTTCCTATGGAACCCTGGGTTAAACTAAATGTGGATGGTTCTTGTATCAACAATGGAGAGGTTTTTGCATGTGGAGGTGTAATTCGAGATTCATTTGGTAGGTGGCTGATGGGTTTCTGCAAGAATCTTGGCAGTGGTACTATGCTGAGCTGTGGGGTTGTCTTCTCGGGCTTGAGATTGCTTGGAAGAGGGGCTTTCGCTTTGTTTGGCTTGAAGGAGACTCTTTAGTAGCTCAACAACTCATTAAAGAGGGGTGTAGTCACAGGTCACCCCAGTGTTTATTCTGGTCAAGCGAATAAAAAAGATGATGGCTTGGGATTGGAGGATAATGATCTCCCACATTCATAGGGAGGAAAATAGAGTTGCAAATTGGATAGCTTCTTATACTTACATGTTTGATTGGTCCTTACAGAAGTTTGACTCATCTCCTTGAGGATGTTGTGATAGGCTTAGTAGGGATTCCATTGGAGTAGCTTGGCTGATGCTTTGCAAGTAGTTGTTTTTTTTGTTTTTCTTGTTTTTCTTTTCCTTTAGTTTTTTTTTTAAAAAAAAAAAATTACACCTTATGGTAAAGTCAAAGTCATCGCTTCCCGCCAGAATGACGTGGCATGTGCGTAATGCGCACGTCTCGTAAACCAGAGTCGACGCCAAGCAATTACAGGGTCTGCGACTGCGCGACCAGGACTCGGTCTAGCGTCTCGCCCACCCTAAATGAAGAAGATTGAGGAACCAACCTCATCCTTTTACTCAACTTCGTCGTTTTAAAGTATAACGACACAGAGAGATTTCCCATTCGAGTCCATCACTCCCATGTCGATGCTGAATTCTCGGTTTTCTGTTCCACTTTTCATCTCTTGCATGTTCTTCACATGCTTTCCAGGTAAATTTTCTTCTTCTTCTTCTTCTTCTTCTTTTTCCCCATTAATTTATAATTTGTCGATTTCACAAGTTTATTGACAAAAAAAAAAAAAAAGGGTTAAAATCTGTGAGTTTTTAAGCTTGTTTAGCTGATAGGGGATTCGGTTTGGGAAATTTTTGGCCATTGTAATGTTTTACCAGATTGATATATGTGGAATTTTTAATTTTTTATACTTTAATGTGAATTGTGTATTTGCGTGAATGGTTGTGTTACTAACTGTTGTGGCTTCTTCTGCCGCTGTTGATTGAATTTGCACAGGGTTGATGTTATGTGCAGTTGTGTCGCTGAGTTCAATTGAGATCTTTAGAACGCACGAGTGGCTAAAAGCCACTTCAACTGTTTATTTCCTATGCAATGGGGAGAACAAGATAGTGTTTCCAGATGTCAAGAAAGCCCATTTCCTTTATGCTTTCAGCGGTGAAGAATCTTGGCAGGTTCCTTGTTACGTCTTTGCTCTCCTTTTTGGCTTTCCACATATTGCTTTTATGTCTTAATTCTTATTTTTCTTTTTTATATTATTTTTGGCATTCTTTATTCATTAGAAGTAAATCAAGTTATGTATATGCTTACACACTTAAATTTGGCTAACTGAGACTATGAGGGATGTGGTGTGATAGACTGGAAGTTTGGATCCCATGTCCCTTTGGCCGAAGAATTATTATTTTTCCATATTTGACTGCTTAATATGTCTCCAATTACATATTGATGGTATGGTTTTGTTTCAAGGGCCTCACTCTGACTTGAGTTCTAGAATGGAAAATTTGGATGCAGCAATGCAAAGTCATTTTGATGTTGGCTAACATTTATAGAATAAATTTCGAACTTTGGGAATTTATGTCTGTATATTATTTACAAGCAAGCATTTGAGTAACTGTTATTTTTTGCGCTTTAACTTTGAGTGATTTGCTTTAAATTCCAAGTGTCTTCACATTTGAGTTGCATGTGTTTCTGCTTTAAGCAACTGCTGAGATTTTGCTTTGTGCTTCCAGCCTTTAAGCAATTTCTCAAGTGAAAAATGCAAGCGGTGTGGATTATATGAGGAGTACAGCATTACTTCAGATGATGTATTTGACGAATGGGAGTTTTGCCCTTCTGATTTTACCGCACCTGGTGGTGAATATATTCAGTTCAAGGAAAAGGAATTCAATGCTACTTTTCTGTGCCCAGAGTGCTTATCTCTTGCTGGTGGTGGGTATCTTGCAACCTTTTTCTTTGAAGATTCTTTATTACCACAATCATGCTAGTCGACTTATGCATACATCAATGAGTTATTTGAAAAAAATATTTTTGACCTAGGAGATGCCATTGCAAAAGTTGAATAGTTAATCGAAAGTATGGAACTTCAATTTTGATGAATGATTCTTTCGATCTACAGTTGTAGTGCTTCTTACTTACATTTCAATGGTAATTTTTGTCAACAAAAGAGCAACCTGCTTACTATTGTATTGGAGTTGCTCACCATGTATAACTTGGGTATTTAAACTAACAATAGCAGATAACATAAATTCAATAGACTTTTAAGATTCTAAAGAACAAATAAATGAAGTAATTTACTCCCTCCTGTATTTTGTGCTTAGGATGCAAACATCCCCTCTATTGTGAAAAGCTACACAAAATTCTGCAGCTTATCCCAAAAGATGTTGTCATCCTTAGCAAATTTGTTAGCTGGACCATTAGATCATAGTTTTTAAGTCAAATGTCATTTTTACCCTTATTCTGCATCATATGTTTAAAAAAAATAGAAAAATACATTTATTTGGTGTAGAGCTGAATTGAAGGTTCGTCTTGGCGCCACACAATTTCGATTGAAGGTTTAGTTACACTAAATAATTTTTTTTCTCTCGCGCCACATGTAAGGCTAAACAAGAGTTTGAACAGCATTTGACTACAACACATCCATGAGCTAACTATTAACTACTGATAACAAATCCAGTAGGCCTAACTCCAATTTAGATTTAATTGTAGCCATTTTATTTATAAATTCAAGAGTTTTGTGTTTGTTTTTGGTTTATCTAATAAACACAAAATGCAAAGGAAGATAGATTACTCCAAAAAAAATATAACTTTTTTATTTCATAACCGACTAGATGGAAGAATATTGTATTAATTGAAGAGAAGGTACATAGGCTTCCTTATCTTGGTTTTCAATCTTTATAATTATCTTCAATGATAATAAGATATTATTACCTTCGGTCTGAAGTGTTTTCTTCTTAATATTGATATGTATGTGCTTGTCAACTTGTAGAATTACTGGGTATGCCAGTATTAGGTTTGTTCTACTTCCCTGCATCTTTGAACAAACCTTCTAGGACATTTTCGAAGTTATTTTCATGTCATAAGTTTATGGCAAAGCAAGGAAAACTAAATCTTCTCAACCTTCCACGCAATAACCTTCTTTTTTCCCTTGCAGAGCTCTTGAATTTTATTTTCTAGGTGCGCTTGCATCAATACTCGTTTACATGCTAATCTTTATTGCATTTTGTATTAACCAAAGTATTTGTATTGATGCTCTGTAGTTTCTAGCTCTTCTGGTGAGCATGATGATGGAAAAGGAATGCATTTTGCAGTTGTAATTTCGTTAAGTGCTTTGATCTCAACCATACTGATTCTTGGAGTGGTGGGTGCATATAAGTTCTGGCTAAAGAAGAGCAGGGAGCAGGACCAGGCTCGGTTTTTGAAGTTATTTGAAGATGGAGATGACATCGAGGATGAACTGGGGCTTGGTAGGGTGATATGATATAATCAATGGCGGAGCCAGAAGAATATTTTAGTCCACGCCAAACATCAATTCTTGAAAAAAAAAATCAGCCAATGCCAACCATTGAAGAAGTATTTCCATAGTTCTCTGTTATTTTCATAGTTCTATAAATAGAAAGCCAATCATTTTTGAAAACCAGCTTGACACTGGCTGGTTTCAACTGGCTCCTTCACTAGATATAATGATAGTAAACAAAATACCTTCAATACAGTATAGGTTAACTTCAGAATTTTGTTAATAAAATAGGATGAGACATTTATCTTTATTGCAAAGAACCATGCGAATGTTCATATCCACCTTTACGCACAACATAGGGCTATCGTGTACTTCATCTTTAAGATTTGCTCAGCAATCTAGTAGAAACAAATAAGCAAAATAAAAAATTAAGGGCATGTTTGATTAGTGTTTTAGAAAAAAGTTTTTTTATTTAAAAATTAAAAACTAAAAAAATTTGTTTGATAAGAGTGTTTCCTAAAAATAATTTTAAAAACAATCACCGTTTTTTAATTTTTTAATTTTTTTTACAAAACAACTCTTATCAAACGGATTTTTTTATTTTCAAAATGAAAAAATTGTTTTAAAAATAGTATTCAAACTGGGTCAACGTTTCATAACTCCTTTGACTTATTTTTGTTCTGGTTTTCGCTTTTTTATTTTGAGAAGTATAAAAACACCTAGGCCACTTTGTTTTCAATAATGGCAACATTGTAAATAACATATTATTATAATATAATATCGTTTAAATTTCAATTTTTCCCCTTCTTCCTTTCATCTCTAACTTTAGGAAAAATTTGGCCAATAGGAATGCACTCCATCAGGTTGTGTTGCATCGGAGAAAAAAAAAAGTTTACATTTTTGCTTTATCTATTTGGATCCTTTCTTTTTTAAACAAGAAGCTACTTATAAGATAAAATTAAAAAAAAAACTTAAAAAAAAAAACTAAAACTAATTTGATGATTACATAAATTTTTTAACTTAAAAATTAATTAAAAACACATATTTCAAGAAAATACTTTCTTTATTTCGTAACTCTTCATTTAAAAAAAAAGATACAGTTCAAGAAAAACTGATAAAAACTTAAAAAAAGTTCAGGAGCTTTTGACTTTTAAATTTTTTCTTTATAATAAAAAAAATTATGATAAGAACTTTTTTAAAACATATTTAGCCTATTTTCTTATTATAAATAGCTTCTAATTTTATTTTATTTTTAAAAATCCAAACAAATACTATATCTTATTAGTAAAATATAATGTAACATACATTGTTGCACCAATTTTCAATACCATCGTCGTACCTAAAAAGCATTCCTAACTTTTGGATTGAATTGTTTTTTTGCACAAGGTGTATTCAGTCTTCCATGTTTGGCAGCTAAAAGAGCTATTAATCTTCCCAAAATGTTTTCCGATTCCCTAGAGTTGCAAGTTCAGCCCACAGAAATTTTGGATGCCCAAAGACTGCTTAATGGGAAGTTGGAGGTATTAGTGCAATGGGTGGACTTGCCAAATTGTGAGAATTCTTGGAAGGACGTGGAAGCATTTCCCTTCTTTTCACCTTGAGGATAAGGTGTTGCTCAAAGGGGGGAGTGTTGATGGCCCCCCAAAATATGTGTATAAGAAGACAAAGACCCGAAATGGAAGTCCAAATGGATTGGGTCGTGTGGGGGTGGACAATAAAGAAAGAGATAAGTTATTTTACCTATTTTTTTTTTGCCTATATTTATTTATGGGAAATAAGACTCTCATGTCACATGAGATATTTTCATTTTCCTACACAAATTCGTTTTCCGTGCCAAATAATTTTTCTTTTCTTTTTTAATATAAAATATGAGATCCACATTTAACTTCTCTCTACTTTTTTTCTCTCCTACAATCTTACAACATAAGAAAAGTTAAACCCTTTATTTATTACTCTCCAATACCGATATATTAGAATCTAGAAAGGAGAGAGAAAGATAAATATTAATTAAGATTCTGACTTAATAATCTTTTAGAGTGGTAAATAAAAATAGGCAGAAAAAAAAAAAAAATAGAATAAGATATCTCATGAAGAAGATGTAAAAGTTGAAAGTTGAAATGGAAGGGGACTTTGTTAAAGAGGTGGACATGTGGCAAGCATTGAATGGTGATTTGGAAATGGGGGAAAACAGAATGGGAGAATCTGTTGCATATATGGAAGGGGATGATGGTGTGGTCCGTGTGGAGGGGATTATGGAAAAAGTAAGCTAATCATTAGGTAAAGAAAAGGAAACTCTGCAAGATAGGGTTGTTTCTTGTGGAAGTAGAATTTGAATGGATCTTGTTATTAATTGAGTCTTTGATTTCTGTTATTGAGTCAGTCATTAGTAATTCAGTTTTTTTGCTTATAGAGTCTGTATTGTGTCCGTTAATCTGTAATGCTTTGTAGTGCTGTCCAAGTGGTTCGACAAGTGTTTTGGGAGAACATTATAGGGGGCTGTATCCCCAGATTGTGATGAATTCAATAGCATTTTCTGTTTTATCAAAGGCTGGTGCCATCAAAAGTAGAGAGAAAACGCTGCTATAAATTGAAAAAGTGCTATGTGTAATACTCTTTCTTTAGACCGGCGCAGATGACCGAATCTAAAACACAAGATGTTCCATATAAGCAAGTGGGTGACCATTGAATAGGTAGAACTCTTACAAATTTGCATAATACAAAGACAAAAAAGAAGCTATATTATCATGATCCATGTAAGCTGATATTTCAAGTGCTCAGAATTTAGCAATAACAATAGCAGATGATGCTTTGATTTGTGAAGCTGCTGCTTCTGCTTCTGCTTTTGTGTGATCAGAGGAGAAGCAAGAAACCATGCATAGGAGACCTCAACCATGACAATCAAAGCAAGCATTTCATGAACATAGTACTCTAGTCTCTAGGAGGAACATGAGAATTGAGAAAGCAATATTTAATTTGACTGGAAGTTGCTGCCTGCCTGCCTAAAACACCAACAGAGTAGCTGTGCTTCAATAAGATCATTGCGCAGTGCTGCTAAGGCTTAAACACATGCATTGTACACAGAATCCATCCCGGACAAGATAGAAGGTAGTGAAAACTGTCACAAATATTTCATTAAGCACGTAATCCAGATTTAGTCAAAATTTTGGCATCTTAAAAATTTCAGGGAACAACTTCAGTTAGTAGTCAACAAGTTTCATCGAAAGAAATTGCCTTCATGGATCGAAGTTTTCTCTGAAGTGTAGCGTTCACTTTAAAGAGTGAGGTGCAGGGTTAGCACATGGATAACCAAATATGAATTTGTTAGAAACCACTTTCTTGATTTTCTCATTAGTGTTCACCACTTTGACTTTACAATTTAAAGCACTTGCTAGGACCCAAATCCATGTTATATAACTTCCTTTTCTCTTTCGTTGACAACGGTTTCTTATTAGATGAACTCTAGTCATTACATGGTGTTTTTGGTACAGTAGTCACAAAATAGTTGGTTTTACTAATAGGGCATCCTTCAGTTAGCCAAAAATAAGATATATAAAACTAACTAGCTTCTTTTTCAATAATAAAAAACTCCCCAAAAAAGAACATACAATAATAACCCATTAGTCTATTACCTATCACTATTTTTTCAAGTGTTGTTAGGTTATACTTTGCAGATTCAAGCAGCAGTTACGTCAGTTCAAGAAATCATATATGAGAACTTATAAACCAGAAAATTCCTTACCGGCATAATGATTAATGAAGGTAAAGACAGGAAAACGAGCTTGAGCAATTAAGAATCCAAAGCCCACAAAACCTAACTAGAAGAGCTCCTTATTGATTTCTCAAAATTATAAAGCTCCTTTGAATTGGAACCATAAATAGCCTTAATTGTGTCCCTGCAGAAACTACAAGAAAGAAGAGGATTGGATAAGAAACACATACCTAGGGTGTCTTTGTTTCAAGGAAAAAGTTTTGCTTATTATTTCGTGCTTGTTTTTGTACACTATCCTTAGGTAGATAAATTGAATAAAAGTCATGTTATCAAAAAAAAAAAAAAAAATTGAATAAAAGTCAATAAGAAAATTTGGGGCATGTTAACAAAATTTGAAACATGACTTCTGCTTTAGCAAAATTCAGCATGCACATCGGCACATGTTCTAGCCTTGACAGTAGTACAGTACTATGAGCAACTCTTATCTGTTGTAAGGTGATAGGTAACAGAGAACAGAGTAACGAAAATTGAAAAGAGAAACAGAAAGTGTATTGAATTATACTGCAAATAGTAAGAACAATATGATATATGACACTTCCAGAGGTAAGTCTCTCCCTATCAGTAAAAAGCTGCCTAAAACGATAACCACTATCTTCCAGAGGTATTCATGATCTCATAACAGAATTGCTACCCCCATAACAGAATTCCTTCACACACTCCCCAATCCTGGGCGTACATGTCAGCCACTAGAGTATAATGGATTGTCTACACCACGAACCTATCCTACGGAGTGAAGATTGATACCTCAAAGGATCAAACACCTATCAGAGCCACTTCAATGGAGGATGTGGTCTTTTCTTAATAAAATTAAAAGATTATGTGCACCATACTGCCATGTCATAATAAACCCACTAGGCCACTAGCACCATTGGAAATTAGTGCGCAACCAAATGAAGGCAAAGGTTAACAAATGCTCACCTCATTGTATCTACGGATTTGGCTTAGGAGTTTAACTCATTGTTTGTTGTTATTATATACATATATATCTGAAGTATCAACACCAAACAAAATAATTTTTCTTACGAAAACATTTTCAGGTTAACAAAATTTCCCCATAATGTGATTCTCCTGAAAAGATACTTCATTCAAAAGCAAGTGAGAAAGGTGGACCTGCAAGCCTCCTTGTTGAGTTTCTTCTCTTTAATTCCATACAAAGATTCAAATACCTCTGGCTCTACACGGCAAAAGAATGGACGCTCTGAAGAAGAAAAAGAACAAGTTAAACTCCAAAGATAGCATTCCCATGATAAAATTCAAACATCATAACTGAGAGGGATGATGACCAGAGTAAATGGAGCATTTCCGAGTACTCTTTTCATAATGAATACACCATCCATCTGGACCTATCAAGCTTTTGTAGAGCTGAAATTCATCACAGCAGATCGATCATGAACACAATGACAATTGAAAAAAGACAAACAAACTATTTTATACAATAAATGAAGGGAATATAATCTCTCATATTGCACTAGACAATCTTGTCATGCACACACAAAAAAGTGGATAAGACCCACTTGTTTTCTTTCTCTCTTCTCCTTAGTGGATATCTATATTCCCATAAATGAAATGTTCACAGCTCAATTCACAGACACAGAGTATATCATATGCTCGAGAAGATAATATGTTCTAAATCTATATAAAGAATAAACCTTAGCCAGTTATAGATATCATATCAACTTGTTTCACATGAAGCAAAAAAACTTTATTTTTTTGTTGAGATTTTTTCAAAGCAAAACTTGGAAGTTCAAAATTAAACCTCAACATGTGAAGGGTCGGTGAAAATTTCTTCGGGAGAGGCAAAAGAAGGACCCTTGTCGAGTTTACAGCAGGCCCCACAACCCTCAACGCAATGCCATGATAATTCCTTCTTCTCGCCGCCGAAACCAACGGTGTTCTGCCTTTGCTTTTTGTCAGTCTTTACCGTTGCTGTTCGCCGTTGGCGACGCGCCGCCGAATTCACAGCTAAGGATAACGGCGGTGTCATGGTGGCGGTGGCGGGATACATGATAAGGGTCTTATTTCTTAAACTTGATTGTGGCTGATTTCCTTAAACCATGTTCCCAAGATACTGAACCCTCTTGTACTAAAAAAAAATACTAAACCCTCTAACTCGTTACGGAACTTTTGCTTCAAAAACTTTAAAAAATAAAAATAATGATACATTATTTTTAATTACCAAAAATAAATATTAAATATGGATAATCAATTAATTATACAAAGATAAAAATAAATATAACCGTTGGATCAACATAATCGATCTAATGATGATATTTATTAATAGTAATATTAATTGATTGTTACACTATCTTTCTTCTTATAAAAAAGACGGTATTGTTTTTGTAATTATTAAAATATATCTTTATTATTATTTTTTGTAAGTCCTCTCGAGGAAATACTTATCTTTTCTTGACTTTACATAATGTGATATTTATTATTTGGACTTTTATTTTTAACTATTTATCTTGTAAGAGATATAATATAGTCTTTCTATATTAATTTAAAATTTCACCCAACTTAATTTTTTATAAATTTATATTAATTTATTAGTTAATATAATTAATTAAACTTCGATTGCAGTAGTAAACAATAATGCGTTCACGAATTCATCTAATTTTAAATAGTAAATACGTTAAGTAATAGTGCTTTCTTTTTTTTTCATCTTTGTTTGTCTCTAGCGGTTCCAGCGATATAAATTAAATAAGTTAATTAGATTTTGGTCTAAAAGATCACTGTAGATAAAATGAGGCAAGAGTTATAATTTTCTAAAGAAGAAGATTCATTCTTTCTTTTTAGTCATCTGATGTAAAATGTGAAAAAAAATAACTTTTTATGTTATAATTAATATATTATCAAAAGTACACAGAGTAAAACATTATAAAGCATTATAAAAACACAATTTATATCCTTTGAAAAGTACACACATTAAACCTTTACTTGTATGCTAACATAGACTATGTCGGGTGCTCATCTTAATCATGCAATCCCTGAATTTGAATACTCAACCGTAATTATTGAAGACCGGTAATAATTTATAATATGCATTGACATAAACAATAAATAACATGAATAAATTAATTATTGAACAAATGATATAACTATCAATAAGAGAAAAAAGAAGTTATGTAACATTTTATTTATATAAAATAGGACGGAGATTACAAAGACCTTAAATAGTAATTTACAGAAATTGCTTTTGTGTTGTGTTGTGTTGTGGCGACCATTTCAGTCTCCAGTATAACTACATCCGATTCGTTGATGGTTGAGCAACTTCTCTAAAGACTAGTTAAGTTGCTTACTCTGATTTTTGCTTTGATCTTCTTGCCGGAGATTTTTGGTACCACCTTGTACACCTCCCCACAAATTTCAGAATCTCATCAATTAGAACAACAGGGGATGCAACAACCAAAACCAAAAGCCATTCTCTGAAGCTCAGGGGAACAATGCCAAATATTTGAGCTAAGAATGGCACATACAAGATCAAAAAGTGAAGACCAAATGACACAGACATTGCCAAAAGAAGCCAAGGGTTGACCCAAGGAGGCATTGTCAAAAGGCTTCCATCCTCAGAAAGGGCATTAAGGGAATTGAACATTTCAATGGCTACCAACACAGAGAGGGAGAGAGTCATAGCTTTCACTTTCCCAGCTCGGAAATATTCACAAGGGTCATTATCAAATGAGAAAACTCTATCACCAGCAGTGAAAGGAGAAGCAGTGAAATTCTCCCATTTGGAGCATTGACCCCAGTTGGAAAGTTGGGAGTAAGTAACAAGAGTATGACCATCCCCAGTAAGATCAATACCCAAGAAGGAACCATGTGTATACCATATAATGAAAACACCAACTGTGGCTATTCCAACATACATCCCAATAACCTGTGCAATGTAACAACATGGAGAAGAAATAAGTAAACCATATATATTACCAATATTTTACAACATACACCCAAATTAATACTAGGAGAAGTTATACTTACCATCTTTTTTTCTTATCACTTCTTACTCTTAGAGAATAATATGAAATTATTAAAAAAGTTCTCACCTAATACTTTTAGATTTTGGATTGAATTGGTTCTTTTCATGATATCAGAGCTTCAGTGACCACAAGGTCACGAGTTGGGTGAGATATCAATGAAATAGTTGGGTGAGGGCATTTTTAATGGTTTTATATTATTCTCTAACACTTACAATCAATCTCGTTATCGTTGGATTAAAATGAAATCAACGATTACAAAATGACATCAAGTGAAAGGAGTTGATTTGATTTTAATACAATAACAATAAAATTAGTTGTGAAAGGTGGTAAAAAAAACGGTGATATGTATAACCTATCTGATTTTGATCCAATAAAAATAAGATTGGTTGTGAAAGGTGGTAAGAAAAAAAAAGGTGATATATATAACCTATTCCATTAATAACGTGTATGAGGAAGGTTAAAGAAAAAAACAAGAAAAATTACCAGATAGCGGAATAAAATCCACCAACTAATTAGTGCGTCATTTTTGGGACGAGGAGGCTTCTTCATTATATCCTTATCTGGAGGATTAAATCCCAAAGCTGTTGCTGGTGGTCCATCTGTGACAAGATTGACCCACAGAAGCTGAACAGGTAGCAAACCTTCAGGAATACCTAGGGCAGCCGTTAGAAATATAGAAGCAACCTCCCCAATATTGGAAGATATCATATACCTGCAAAATAATTTCTAAATCAGTGGAAAAGATATAGATATTTTTATCATTGGAATTACTAAGAAATATATAGACACATCCATTCACCTGATAAAAGCCTTCATGTTACTGTAGATAGATCTACCTTCACCCACAGCAGCAACAATCGTATTAAAATTATCATCAGCCAAAACCATATCCGAAGCTTCCTTTGCCACCTATTGGACAATCATAATATTAGAAAGATAATTAGCAACAAAAAAACAAACAGAACTACATTTTAGCATAAAATGAGATAAAAAGAGTTGAAACAACTAACAAGTATTAGTATGTTTACTAATGAAAAACAAATACCTCAGTCCCTGTAATTCCCATTGCAATGCCAATATCAGCAAGCTTCAAGGCAGGTGCATCATTAACACCATCTCCAGTCATGGCCACTACTTCTCCATCCTCTTTGAGCAGCTTCACAATTTCTTGCTTGTGTCTAGGTTCAGCTCTTGAAAATAAAAGCCCTCCACTCTGATCCAGATGAGCTTTTTTATCACGCAGCTCCATAAACTGTTTTCCCGTTATGCTTCTCGAGCTTATGTCTTCATTGGGTCCAAATACACCTATTTCATGGCATATAGCTTCTGCTGTTTCCTTGTTATCTCCAGTTATAACCAAAACTCTAATTCCAGCTGCTCTACAGTCCTCAAGTGCTTGGTGTACCTCCTCCCTAGGAGGATCCTGAGCACAATTTCAACATGCAAAATTTCAAAAAACTACCACAACTACCAGATATGATTGAAGTGAGAAAACACAGAGTGTAAAATGAGAAGATCAAAACTTACCCTTAAACCAGCCAGGCCAATAAAAATAAGTTCAGTTTCAATTGATGAATAGTTAGAAGGATTAAGCAAAAGCTGGTGAGCTGGATGATCATCATTGCCGCTGTAGCTTTCAAACATAGGGAGCTCGTCCTTGTATGCAAATCCCAAACAGCGCAATGCACTAGTTGACATTTCAAGAAGAGCTTGCAATACAAGGTTCCTACCATCATCGTCCAATTTCACAATAGTACCATCAGACAACTGCATTTTGGTGCTTCTTTCCAACACATTTTCTACAGCACCCTATCAAAATTGAGGACCACATAGCCAAATATCAGTTTAAAATATTTCCCAACAGTAAAAAAAAATGTGAAACAGAAACAGGACAAGTTGGAACCAAGGAAGACAAAAATAGACAATACCTTCACCAGCAGTGACTTTTTCCCTTCACCTGAGTCCACAATAACACCCATTGACTTCCTATCATGGTCAAACTCAAGAGTAGCAATCCGACGGTCACTTTTATTCCACCAATTACAACAACCTTAATTAAAATCGATGGAAAAGCAAGTTAATCATATGTAATTGATCAATCTGTTTCATTACCAACTCGAATTACATCAAAAAGTCAAGCACAACATTCTTATTTTTGTCATTATATACAACAAAATTAAGAAACTCGTTCTGAAAGTGATCAAGGTATATTCAGAGACATCAACTATTGGATTTGACAGATTCCCATAGATAATTTATGTCAGAATAAATGACCAAAAGATTCAACTTACGTAGTAAGGCACTTCTTGGTGAACATGCACCACTGGATCCTTCAGGAAGGCCCATCTTCTCCACCAGAACCTAGAATCCAAAGAAGAAGCGCACACACACAAAAAAATTAAAAAAGTATCAAACAAAACAGACAACAAATGCAATCAATTTGACACCAAGAAAAAACAACAACTTTCATTTGCTAATGCTAATTATTCATAAGGATGGTTCATCCAAGAGACAATGACAAATAATTCATGATAAAAGGAGCAAGGAATGTTAAATTTTTTTAAAAAAAAAAAAAAAGTATTTAAGTTACCTTTAAGGCTGCTTCAGTTGGAATTCCATGAGCAACAAACTTCTGTTCTGCCTCTTCTAATCCAGCATCATTACAAATGGCAGCGATTTTGGCTATCATCTCAAGATTAGCATCCAATTGACCCATTGGCCAGTCCTCTATCTTACCATCAGATGGATTATAAGTAGTTCCTTCCACCTTGAAGGATTGCAGTGTGTCTACTTTAGACCCAATAGCCACAAGTTTTGTCACAGCCATCTGATTTGTTGTCAATGTACCCGTTTTATCCGAACAAATCACAGTTGTACAACCAAGAGTTTCCACACTTGTTAGCTTCCGAACAAGGGCATTCTTAGCAGCCATCTTGCGAGTACCAAGCGCCAAACAAGTAGTAATAACCGCAGGTAAACCTTCAGGAATAGCAGCCACGGCCAATGCAACAGCAATCTCAAAGTAATAAGTGCACTTCTCAAACGAAAACTTGAAGTTACTTGGCCACCCATTCACATAATCCCAGTTCAGAAAATACTTAATATTGATGACCCACACCAAAGCACACACCACACCAATTATCCGAGTTAACAACTCCCCGAACTCATTGAGCTTCTTCTTAAGAGGTGTATCTTCCACACTCAGCGCCGCCACGTGTATCTGCTTGTGCACTTTCCCAATCTCTGTTTCCATTCCTGTTTGTGTAACCAAACAATAGCAATGGCCGTTAACAACCGTTGTCCCCGCGAAAACCATACACTTCTTGGCTTGAATATCAGCATCCTCGGGAACAACCTTGTTTGTCTTAATCACTGCTTCACTCTCCCCTGTGAGGGAACCCTGTTCGAGACGCAGAGTGGAGCTAATTAACTCCACAACACGCATATCAGCAGGGACCTTATCACCAACCTTAAGCTCCACAACATCGCCGGGGACGAGTTCCTTCGCCGGCACGCTCGGGATCCACCTGCCGCCGCGAACGACGGCTGCGTGCTCGGATTGAATCTCCTTCAAAGCCTCGAGTGCTTTCTCGGCATTGCTCTCTTGCCAGACACCAACAATGGCGTTGACGATGAGTATGAGGAATATGACAAGAGGCTCCACGAAGGCCGTGATCTCCATGTCGCTTCCTTCCTCGCCGTCTAACCAGGCGAGGATGAAGGAAACGACGGCGGCGAAGAGGAGGATCCGAACCAAAGTGTCGTTGAACTGATCGATAACGAGGCTCCATATCGATTGTCCCTCGTGATTGTCCAACTCGTTGTAACCATAAATACGACGCCGTTTCTCAACCTCGTCGTGACTTAAGCCTTTTTTCACTGTCACCTTAAAATGCTCTTCGCATTCGGTAACACTCTTGGCCCAAACCTTAAACATTTCCCTCTCCGAACTCGCGTTCGTGTGGTTCACGTAATTCTCACCTCCCTTCCCCATCTCGAACTCAAAACGACAAGCGTTTCAGGTACTAAACCCAACCAAAGTGTGTTTAAGGTTGTCTGCAACCGGACCATACGGTACTGAAAAGTGCAAAAAGGGAGAAAAGAAAGAAACCAAGCGTTTCAGCTACTAAAACAAACCAAATTGTGTTTAAGGTTGTCTGCAACAGGACCACTGAAAAGTGCAAAAAGGGTGAAAAGAAAGGAAGCTTCGAGGTTTGACTTCAGATTTCTAATGTTGAATTGCATTTATAAAAAGTGTGTGAATGTTGATTCCCCCAGTATGATTGTGTAGTTTCGAAAAAATTAAGATTAACTAAGGAAGTCGTTTTGTAAGCAATTTCGTGGTAGCTTCGCGCGGGATTAAAATAAAATTCGACATTTAAGCATGACGTTATGTTTGTTGGGGAAGTCAAATGTTATTTCGATGACGTGTCGTTCGTTTATTGGTGGATCGTCTTTCACGTTGGCTAGGTTTCTTATTCGCCGTGCATTTTCGTTGCTTTCTCTGTTGGCTAACGTTATAACATTATAGTATTCTCTCTCTCAAGTACGTTCGATTTATAAAATACTGCAGCACGCAAGTGTTGATGATCTGGGACGTTAATCACTTCACGTATTTGCTTTTTCAATAATAAATTGATGAATGATTGATTAATCAGTATTTTGATTTTCTTTACTACAGAATTAAAATATAGGATAGATCTTCGATCAGGTAGAACTGTATATAATTATAGGCATGAGCTCAGAGATATTTTATGAAGAGATATCTATTTGCTGGGAGACAATGTATCAATTAATGCGTGTGCTCAGTGTTGACATTAATTGTAAAATAGATCAAAATCCTCCGTACTTGAGGTCTTTAGCCTTTATTTATAGTGTTACCTTTATGGGCTTGGGCTTTTTGGAACTCCAAATTGTTAGCTTCTTTAACATCATTGTTGGATTAGGATTCCTCTTCCTTAGTCCTCTAGTTGTTGGGATTCTACTAGGATAAGACTCAATCCTTCCTTTTGATAAATTGTGTCGGCAAACTGTGTGCTAGGATGAGCTCCTAGAACTTTTTGTCAGCAAATTGTGTGTCGTTGTCAGTGATGATTTTAGTCGGGATTCTAAATTAGCTGACGATGTTCCTTTCGGAAAATCTATGGACTCTTGCTAAGGTTATAGTGGTGAGTGGTTCACCCTTAATCCACTTTGTGAAGTAATTCACATCAACTATCAACCAACAAAGTTGTCCTTCAGCAGCGATGAAAGGTCCTAAGATGTCAATACCGCACTTATAAAACAGCCAAGGTGACGTAATAGTTTGGAGCTCTTATGGGGAGTGTGATGGACATGTGCATGTCTCTGGCATTGGTCGCACTTCTTAATGTGCTTCTTGGCATCAGCCTCCACTGTCGGCTAATAATATTCTGCTCGAAGTGCTTTCTGGGCTAGTGACTCACCCTCCATGTGGTGTCCATTAATGCCTTCGTGGATCTTGATCAGGACATAGTCCGCCTCATTTGGATCCAGGCATTTAAGCATTGGTGCGTAAAACCCTTTCTTGTATAGATGCCCTTCAAGTATGGTGTAACATACCGAATTCTTGATAAGCTTATTATCCTCTGAGAGCTCGTCTGGAAGGGTTTCCTTTTCCAGGTATGCCGCTATGTGCTTTCTTCAATCCTCACCATTGGTGATTATCATGATGCAACTAGGCTCCGGGATGCTTTGCTAGATCACGGTTCTGTGATTACCTAGGCTCTTTGTTCTAGCAAAGCAATATGTCTGCCATGCTATTCTCACTTCTTGGTATATACTCGATTATGGCCTCATCGAACTCGGCTAGTAGTTCTTTTACCTTGTTCAGGTATTTCATCATAAGCAGGCCATTTTCTTGGTATTTCCCATCCACTTGCGAAGTTACGAGCTTGGAGTCACTAAGTATTTTTACTCTCTTGGCCCCATACTCCTTCGCTTGCAATAGTCCAGCAATGAAGGCTTCATACTCAACCTGATTGTTGGAGGTCGTAAATCCAAAATACAAAGAATGCTCAATGGATATGCCCTCCTGACTTTCAATTATGACGCCAGCTCTACTGCGCTTGACGTTTGAAGATTCGTCGATATAGATTGTCTATAAACCATATGGAGCTTGAAGTTCACCCTTTTTGGGGGTTAACTCAAGTACAAAGTCGGCCAATACTTGTGATTTAATGGCTTTCCGAGGCTCATAAGATATATCAAACTTAGAGAGTTCTATTGCCCAATTTATCATTCTTCCTGCCAAGTCTGGCTTGTGTAGTATTTGTCTCATAGGCTGATTTGTTCTCACAATCACAGGATATCCCTGAAAGTAAAGACAGAGCCTTTTGGCCGTGGTGAGCAAAGTGTATGCCACATTTTCCAGCTTTTGATATATGAGTTCTGATCCCTATAGGCTTCGTCCTATGAAGTACATCGGTTGTTGCCCCTTACTCGTCTCTCTTACTAAGGAGGCACTCACTGCCTCTTCACCTACATAGAGGTATAATTTTAGCATCTCTCCAGCTTCGGGCTTTGATAATACTGGCGGGGTTGCGAGATATTTCTTTATCTCTTCAAATGTCGCCTTACATTCCTCTCCCCTTCCAAATTTGGCCTCATTTTTCAGGAGTTTGAAGAAAGGGAGGGATTTCTTTGCAGACCTCGGTAAAAATCTTGTCAGGGTGGCTAGCCATCGTGTAAGCTGCTAAACTTTCCTTTTACTTTTGGGATCCTTTATTTCCAAGACAGCCCTGCATTTGTCAGGGTTGACTTCAATCCCCTAATTTGTAAGCATAAAATCCAGAAATTTATTCACTGATACTCCAAATACGCATTTGGTTGGGTTCAACCTAATACGCCGAGATCTCAGCTGTTCAAACATCTCCCTCAGGCCGACCACGCGGTCTTCAAGCCGCATTGACTTCACTATCATGTCGTTAATGTACCCTTCCAAGTTCCTTCCAATTTGTTTTTCAAAAACCCTATTCGTCATCCTCTGATATGTTGCTTTGGCATTTCTTAGGACGAATGGCATCACATTGTAACAAAAGATCACCTTCTCGAAGATAACAAGGCGGTCTTTTCGTGATCAGATTGGTGTAGAGGGATTTGATTATACCCTAAAAATGTGTCCATGAATGAAAAGTGTTGGAACCCTGAGGAGTTGTCCACCAATTGGTCTATGTTGGGCATGAGGTAGGAGTCTTTTGGGTAGACCTTGTTTAGGTCAGTACAGTCCACGCAGATTCTCCATTTTCCACTTAGTTTCTTTACTATCACCATATTGGACAACCAAGTTGTGTATTGTATTTCCCTGATGAAACCTGCTTCCAGCAACTCGTCCACATTATCATTCAGGGCATGGCGTCGGTTTGGACCTATCTTCCTCTTCCTCTAGGCTACTGGCTTAAATCCGGGATATATAGACAGCTTATGACAGCAAAATGTGGGATCTATCTCCGGTATCTTTGATGCCTTCCACGCGAACACGTTTTAGTTTTCTTTCAGAAAGGAGATAAGCTCCTCCTTTACCTCGACTGCCATAGTCATGTCGATCTTCGCGTAGTGTTTGCCGTATTCTTCAATGATGACACTCTCCAATTCTCCTTCTAGTTCTGGCCTAGGGGTTTGTAATTCATCCTTCATGTCAAGCTCAACCATGTTAACTTGGTTGTCGCATGGGTATACAGAGTCGGACTTGGCCGAGGTTTTTTCTCCTTCTCAAATTATGGGAGGTGATGATGGATCGCCCTGAGTTACCTTGAGTGTTTCATAATAACACTCTATGGCTTTTATTTGATCTCCTATGATAATGACGACCTAATTCTTTGATCCCACCATTTTCAATGCCTGATGTTTGGTGGAAACAAGCACATCTCATTCATGTATTGTAGGTCGTCCTATTATGGCATTATAGGATGAAATTGCATCCACCATAATAAATCGAACACAGTCAGCCAGGAATGACTCCTTTGCTCCCAGAGTGAGCTTTAAGTTGATATAACCTTTAGGGGATGACCGCTCTCCATTGAATCCTACTAGCTCGGTCACGCAAGGCTTTAGGTATTGCTCATCTAAATTCATTTTCACGAAGGCATTCCAGAAGAGTATGTCAGCTGAGTTTTCGGGGTCTACGAATATCTTTTTAACCCAACAGTTTACCAAGATCCTGGTGATGACCAATCCATTGGTGTGGCTCGGGATCACTTTCTCTAGGACTTCTTTAGTGAAAAACAACCTTGGGGGCTTAGGCTTATCTCCATTTTCTTTGAAGATTGGTCTGTCTTTTAATGGACATGACATCCTTAAGGTATTTCCTTCTTGCAATGATTATGTTACCCCCGCGTCCAAGTGCTTCACTTATCACATTGCACTCATATTCAGCTTTTTCATATTCATTATTTGTTGCGTTGGCCTTCTTGCCTTTGTTGTCTCATCTTGCTGCGTCTTCGCTGCCTATGCTTGTAGTTCTTCCTTCCTTAAGTGCGAATAAGATATTGCTTCAACTTTCCTTCTTTAATAAACTTTTCAATAGCATCTCGGAGATCCTAGTACTTGTCAGTGGTATGCCCATGACCGTTATAAAATGCGCAGTACTTGGAGAGGTCTAATCCACCCTTGTTCCTGATGAGCTTCGGCCTTTCAACATTACGGAGCTCGGTCTGGGCTACTTCTCTCCATATTCTAGATCCTGACACATTAAGAGGCGTATAGTTGTCGAACTTGGTTCTCGTGGAGCGTTCCTCTGATTTTCTAAACTTTGAATCGACGGCCTTCTTGGAACTTTGCCGATCTCTGTCTCTGTTTCTCTTGTTCGGGCTCTGGCCAGCCTCATCACCTTTAATGGTGCAATAAACCAACATTATCTCTTCCACATCCAGATATTTGTCGGGATTCTTCCAAGTCGTTGTTCAAATTTTTAAATATCGATTTGGCCAGCGGAGATCGTCCATCCAAACCCAAGATAATCAGGTGTAGGTGGACTGC